CCTTTTGGGTTAGTGTTGTTAAACAGCGTTTGAGCCGATTTTTAAAAACGGCGAACTCAATATTTCATCCAGAAAAATATTACGCAAGCCTGAATATTTTGCTCATAGAAGGAACAAAGGTTTAGACATATAAAAATCTCGAGGCTTAAGCAATATATTTTTGGCTAAAATATTGTGTTAGCCGTTTTGAAAAATTGGCTTAAAACGAGCAGTTTGATAACACTATTTTGGGTGATTCTAATGAGTAACAAAATATTTAATTTTAGCCGACCCCTTTCAATTTCGATAAAGATTTGCAATAACGTTGTATATATATATTCTAGTTATGTCAATAGTGAAATTTTAGCTCATTCGCAATTATATTATCTTAGATAATTAGAAATTAAACTAGAAAAATTCGTTTTTTTACCCTTTATCGATGTTAAACAATTAATTTTTAATTAAAAATTAAATTAACTATTATTCTAATAATTTCTTCAATAATTAGCGCGACGACCAGTTAGTATATTTAAAATAAATTATCACAAAATATATTAAAAAAGTAAGCTATGAGGTGGCTGATTTGGCATGGCATGTCCCTTTTATATTTTATAAATGTATTATATATTATAGTATTTATTTTTAAATTTCGATTTTTTAAAAATATTTTTAAGTTTAATTTAATCGAAAATTTGACTAAATTTTTAATAATTTAAAAAAAATAAATATATAATTTATAATAAAGAAAGAAGGTAATAATTATAAAGTAGCGAAATAGCGTGAAGTTACTTTTCAAAAAAATAATGAGCTACCTAAAGCCACTTTAGCAACACGACATATTTATAATAAAGAATTATTCAATTGGGAAAAAATTTAAAATATCAATCCTTCATTAACGAACTTTTTTTTACCTCAGAATCGATAAAATATGTATATTTTTTTAAATTTTATTTAGAGAATTACACTCGAGATCCGAATTTCCTGACCCCGTTCATTAAAATAATTTCCCTGTTCGGTCCTTTAATATTTTTGTACCAGTGGTCACGATGGTCTGATTTTCAGGCTGATTTAGATCTCTAAATTTGACATTGCTAAATAATATCAAAAAAGAAATAGACAATCCTATAACTGGAATAAAAAGTTTAATTATGAGCTAAAATAATATTTTAAAAATAACATATACTTTAATTGCTAAAATAAAAAAATAAGGTATAATAATATATTATCTATCTTTTTGGTATTTTATTTTTTAAGTTGAATTTATTTTAAATCAATATAATTTTTGACTTTCTAATTTACTTAAAATTATTCTATAAATTATACTATTATATTTATTTTTATATTAAAATAATGTGTTTACTAGTATGTAATTAAAATATAAGGAATAATAGGGATCTTTACACACTGTCTTGTACGGCAGAGACTACTAGAGCAACCTGGGAATATTAATTTATAAAATTACCTTAATTAATTTTTGATAATGATCGTATATTGGGGGGGGGGGATATTTTGAATTAGTAAGAAATTAAAAAGATATATATATATATATGTACACTCTTCGAATGCAAAATTTATATTTATATATCGAATGGAAGAATAAAATAAAATCCAGGAAGGAAATAGGACGGACACACATTACAATATGGGTTATTATATATCAAATCACTCACCTCACAACCATATATTTCAATTCCGATAAAAATTTGTTTTATATGAAGATTATAAATGTTTTAATTAGCGAAATTTGAAATCGCTAGCATTTATATTATCCGAGATATTAGTGTTTAAAGAATTTTTGGATTTTAAATATTTAATTAAAAATTTAATCAATTTGAATATTAAATTTGTAATATTATTTGTCTAAATAAAAGATTGATAATTTAGGAGAAAAACAAAAGTGGGAATTTTTGTTAGGTCATCTTATATTTAGTAGAAAACTTAAATTAAAATTTTTATAATGACTATGACTTCTAACTTTTGCAATTTTTTCTATTGCTTATTAACAAATTATCTAATGTTTTATAAATAATTAAAAATTGTCACCTACAATAAGATGACCACCAAAATGTTCGCCCATGTTAATTTATCTTGCCTTTTAAAAAAATTAACAATCATCTGCTTTTAATTTAATTAATTTATATAAAAATACCGGGGCAAGCTTATTCAGAATAGATGACATCAAGAAAACTAGATCAAAAGAAGAGAGGATTCTATGATTTTTTGGGATTTATGCAGAGACAAGTTTTCATGTCAACCTTTCAAGGACTATAGAGCAAAAAAAACTCATTTGAAATTTTGCTTAACACCATTGCTATTTCCATAAGGAAACTATTTTTAAGAATATTACATTAGAAGAAAAAATTAAGTTGGGATTTAAAATACGTAAATTAGATAGAGCAAAGGGAAATACTATCAGCGATAAATCAAAATTTTATATCGATTTTGGAACAGTACGAAAGGGAAGAACATAAGCAGAAACCTTCCATTCTGATTGCTTTTAAGTTTCCATATGATATAATAATGGCATAGGATCGCACGAGTGTAAAAGTTTAGTATTGGTTCTATCTTATAAATAATATAATATACTGTTAAATATCAAGATGTCATACTAAGTACCCGCACCATCAATTCATTTATTAAAACATGAAGCAAATCATACCTTCCAGTAATATGAAACTCCTTGTCATTACGCAAAATCTGCGAATACCGAATACCTCGAAAGAATTATAATATTAATAGGTTCCATGCAGCTCTCCATCCGATTGAAAGCATTTAAGGTTTACTCAAAAGCTTAGAAATTAGAGATTTTTAAAAAAGGTTATTTTTTGAAGAATAAATTAGAATTTATAAATCAATATCTCATAATACATGCTAGAAGAATCTTATTAATTAAATTCCACAAAGAATAGTCGGTTAAAGGCAAAGGTAGATGTAATATATCAATATAGCTGGGCAAAAAGAATGACACTTTATCATCATAGAATGATGATAACCTTGAATAGAATTGAATAATTTTAAATTATATATATTTTAATAATTTGTATTAAATTTCATTCAGTTTTTTAAATTTTTTTTTTGAATATTCACTAATATTTTTAATAAGCTAAAAAAAAATAAGAGTAATCAAATATCAATGAAATGGGGTAGTTAAAATGTTGGGTGATTCATTTTAGAGGGCTTATTTTTTGATATCTTTAAAAATGGCTCTAACAGCGTTTGGAATCGCGTCTGGGAACCTTAAAACCCATTTTTTAGAATATATGAACCTTAATCAAACCCTTTTTTTGTCCAAGTTTAAACTCTAGCTAGGAAACCCTTTAGTATTATAAGAACTATACTTATTAAATAAAACAGTTGTAATTATTTTTTGCTGTGGGGGCTGGAGGCTTCTAAGGATTCGATTTACAATAAATAAAGGGTTTATGGGTTGATTATTATTTTGTTTCAAATTTTATTTAGCCAACTCCCAATCTCCACTTGAAAGCCAAAACAATAATCAATATATAACATGTATATACAATTAACCTTATGCGTGTAGATTTTACAATATTTTATATTAAAATATATTTTATTGATTTTAGTTTTATGTGCCTTCGTTTTTTTTCCACCAATGACCAATATATAATATATTCTTTATTTTTTTTTTAAAAAAAAATATCAATATACAATAAAGATAGCTATTTTGTGGTTACAATTTTTTTTACATTATAAGCTTTTTTCAATTATTTCTATAAAATTTTGGACGCCATTTCTATATATCTATAAATATTATATGAATTTATCCTATTTTATAGTTACAGTTTATAAAATTCATTAAATTTTATTTCATTTTTTAGACTTTTTATTATCTTCATTTAAAACAATTTTCTTTTTAAAAGAATCCTTCACCAAAATAAACTTTATAATACTAAGTAACTAATAATTGTATATAAAATTAAGTAACTAATAATTGTATATAAAATTTTTTTAATTTTAATCCTGAAAAAATTAATAATTTTATCCTTTGACGTTCGGTTCTTATGCCCATTAAAAATGTTGTATCAAATAATAATGCTTCGACGCGCAAATTATTTTTTGTCACCCGATACGAGAAAAGTAAAATAAAAATTATTTGAATTATTAAATTGTTTTCGAAACTGCTTAAGTGATAACCTGGTTTTATAATGTTCCTCTAGTAGAACTATTAAAATTTCATTTAAGCGGAGCACTTTATCTCTAAGAGAAAACGCTAAAAGCGGGGTGGAAAACGTTGCAGGCGAGTTTTAATTAACAGATTTGTATCATTTTCTTTATTATTAAATTTTCCCTTACCTCGTCACAGATATTATTATAAGCTTAAACAGATTTAATGATGTTATTTTTTAAAATCGCCCTACTATAAACTAGATTGAGGTAGAATAACAGTGCTGGGGTTAGTGTAAGGAGGAGGGAGATTAAACCCATTTGCTATGTCCGTCAAAACCCAAAATGTTTAAAAATTATAGAAGCATTCATACAACTGAATAGGGAGAGTGATGCCCCTGGATAGAATCTTAGGGATGTAAAAAACAACAAATACAAATCTAAAATTTTTATATTGGAACACTTAAAAATTAATTTACTTATAAAATTTCTTACAAAATATTGATAGATTATATGTTGATTGTGTTGGTAAATTTGCGATAAAATATTGTTGTATCATATTTTCCACAGTGATAAGATTAATGTGAAGAAAATATAACAAAAACGGGTTTCTTTATCCCTGGAATCCCTTAATAATCAAGCGACGATTATTGTTTTTAAAAGCATATAAAAAACTAACAATAGAACGATGATATAACATCAATTAATAATTTTTTTTGTAATATCGCTTCTGGATATCTATATTTAAAATCATATTATTATGTATATATATATAAAAGAATGATTTTTTTAATTATTATTTTTTTTTAAAATTAGCTCTAAATTTATGGGTTTTTTAATATTTTTTTATTACCAATTATAATTTATGAATTCACAAAATTTCCCGAAAAACAATAAAGCTTCTTACACCGCAAGCACAACTTCAGATGAAGATGATACAGGATCCCCGAGGGAAAAGGATCAGGTTACTATTTTTTTTATTTGTTTAATTTTTAAAGAAAAAAACATGATCGACGATGATTGTTATTTTTAACACCTATTTTTTTAAGGCCGTGTCCAAAATATCAAAAATTTCGATGCAAACTTTTAAAACTTTATTGAAATAGATGAAATAAGCTATTTTAATATAAAAATAAAACTTGTCCAAAACATATTTTCTTTAAAAATTGAACTTATGATTTAATTTAAAATTTTAAAACTTCAGAAAGTTTTTAAACTTTTCAAATTAAAAAAAAGATTTTGGGCATAGCTTAAAGAAAAATGAGTTGCTATTATATACAGTGTTGAGCAGATTTGATGGGAAAAATTCCCATATTAATTTATTTTTCAAATAAAATAATACTAGCAAATAAAATTATACTTGCAAATATTGTTATAAAAACATAATTTTTATTTTTAACAATTTTTACGAGTTAAATAATTTTATTGTAAATAAAATTATAATTGCAAATATATTGTTATAAAAACATAACTTTTATTTTTAACAACTTTTACGTGTTAAATAATTTTATTTGCAAATATATTTAAAAAAATGGAAATGTTTTCCATCAAATCTGACAACACAATAAATCAGTTAAACCCTATTCCCGCTCCTATTATAAATTTAAACGATTAATAAGCAAGAAGCTTAGTAAATAGTAAGATTTTTGCACCTGTAGACTGTGCATCCTTTTTAATAAAAAATTTAAAATAAATATTACCACCTTTTCACAGTTTAACCAAAATATTTGAACAATATTTTTAAAAAAAGAAAGAAGAAGGGTACTTACTTACTATCAATTTGCTAGCTGTTAATGCTGAGAAAATCGATAAAATCTATATTATCTTCCATTATAAAATATTACTTCCTATTAAAATTGAATTTTTTTTTTGTAATTTACTCCGAATTTGAGTTCTGTATAAAAAATACCCATTTCTAATATTGATTGGGGATTTAAAAAAATATTATATAAATTAAGTATAAAAAAGAAGTTTTTTAAAAAGAATAACAAGGATCCAAAACAAAGTGTGTTCCTGTTCCGGCTAAAAAGTATCTTTCATTCCATGTTTCGGAATGCATTCCTAAAAAAATCTAACTTTATTCCTATTTTATTTATATAACAATTTGTGTACATTATTCTTATCTTATATATAGGATAGTTATTTAGTTCTAAGTGAGAGTTTAACATATGCTCAAAAATAAAAATAATTATTTGAATTTTATAAATGATATATATAATTTTTCAAGCAATATACCCATTTTTAGCATTAATTTGATTAGAAATATTAAAGTAAATTGTTTTTTTTTAAAAAAAATATTTCTTATCTAACTAAGGAAAGGAGACTCTTTAAAATCTCCCTTTGGAAATATCATTAATAAAATTAATGCTTTTTGACATATATTTAAAAAAAAACCTCTTCTTCCATTAAAATGTCGATATCTTTTTTATAATTTTTTTTTCTTATTAAATTTTAATAATCGATCTTTGTTATGATATCCCATCAAGTTTAATTAATACAACTAATTATAATATTTAACATTAATCAAGATCTATGTTGCTTTTTTTAAAAAAAAATTTGGGAAAATTGTAGAACGCTAGAGGAATGGGAACGTTCCCGGAACAGCTCAACGTTTCAAAATATGAAAATTTTAATTTATTACAATAAATTATAAATATAATGATTATAATAATTTATTCAAAATACTCGATTTTCTTTCTTTAATTTCAGTGCTTCACCTAGCATTGTTCACTCATTTAAGTATCATGTAATTTTAAGATTATAAAAACACATAATTAAAACTGATTTTTTTTTCAATGAATTGTTATTATCTTACATAGTGTTGTTTAACGGCTCGATTTGAGCCGATTTTTAAAAACGGCTAATTCAATATTTTAGCAAAAAAAATATTGTCTAAGCCTTGAGATTATTTAATAGATGTTCAAACCTTTTTTACGAGTAAAATTTTTTTCTGGATAAAATGCTGTTTAACAACACTACCCTTACACATCCACCCCCCCCCCCCTTCCTAAAAATCTGAATAAATATAAGTAATTTTTAGAGATAACTAGAAAATTTTTAGAAAAAAATATTTTAATATATAAAAAAGGCGTCATCTTTTTAAAATAAATTTAACTCAGTAAAAGCATGCAATAATCGGGTCTAAAATCTTTCAGTGAAATTTATATGGGGAAATGGCATCCAAAAATTCCCACTCTCATAAGAAAATCATGGCTACGCCTATGGTTTTTTTCGTAATGTAAACTGATTAATTAATTTTAAATTGGCGCTAGCCTGGCCTAAAAAATAATTTACCTTACCCCGCCAGGACTTGTAATTTTCATAGTATGACTTTTTTTTACAATTATACCATTTATCGTTTTTTACCAGCCTGCAGGATTCTGATTTAATTTTGTATAAATAATAATTTTGTTTTAAATTCTTGTAGCTAAGTTCATCAGGATTTCGGGACTTTTGTGTTAGGAACATAAATCAAGCCGCTTTCGGGAGACGGGAGATCGAAATAGCTGAACAAGGTTTTAATTATATATAATTTATTTATTTTTATTAAAAACCTGAAAACGAAAAGATTATTTACAAAAATATGATTTTTAGAAGTGGTTGAAAAATTTTTTTTAAAATAAGATTTACCGGCTTGATGCAAAATCCTAAACTAACAAACAGAATTGATAATAAAAACTCATTTCTTATATTATGATTTAATTTAAGGCCTTCAAAATTATCTTGACTAAATATTAATCATTTCTAATGGAAGGCGTTTTCGTTTATGCGTTTCAAATAATGCATTTTTTTCGCGTTCATTAAAAAGCCAAAATAGTTTGTGTTTTTATTATATTTTTTTAAAAGACAATACCACTTCAATTTTTTTAAACGTTTCTTCTCAATTTTTAGGCACTACTATTAGGGTAACGACTTGCGATTAAATAATGGGTTTGCACCAATCTCTATTCTTTTAAAAACGTAGTTAATAGACAGTTATTTTTCTCTATTTCCTAAATTCATCATTTATATCTAGTTATTCTTAAAAGTCAAACTTATTTTGACAAGATAATAAAAGCAATTATAAGTCACCTAGCTTAAAATTGTAAAAAATGATTATTTATATTAATTTTTAGCAATTAAGATATAAATTTCACTTTACTCGGACCATTATTACTAAAGACATATATTTAATCTCTTTTTTTAAAAAAAATGTTCAAACAGACTTACATTTATATACTAATAATTACATATCTTTTTGTGATAAGAAAAAATTTTCTCAATTAATCTTCTTAAATTTTTAGGCTTTTAATTAAGAAAATCAAGTTATAATGGATATTATATTAATAAATTTTATAATTGAACACGGCCTAAAAAAATATATTATAGTATTTATTATGAATATATATATACACCATTATTATTTTGTAATGTTTTAAAATTTGAAATTGATACTTATTTTAAAAATCAATCCATATTTATCGATAACATTCCTATCTATATAGGTAATGAATTTTTTTCGCCTCTTAATTAGATAGCTATTCTTTTAACCCTTCTAAATTATTTCCATTTATCGGGTTTCCAGATCTTTAAAACGTAAAATTTTTTTCCTTGGATCCATCCATGATCGTCTACTAAGCTATCTGGCTTTTTTGTTTGTAACCCATATACTTACCACTTAAATATGGGCTTAATTCAAAGTATCTTTTAATTAACCTAAAGGATTACTTATTTTTCTTATAAATTTAAGAAATGCCGGGCGTGATGGCCCTTAGAGAGAGAGCCAAAAACGATAAACCTTTAGCGGGGTCTAAAATTATAGGCTGCACGCATGTAACAGCTCAAACCGCGGTTTTGATAGAAACGTTACACATCCTCGGAGCTCAAGTTATTTTAATATTGCAACATTTTAAACCTTTTTTTATCATTCTACACTATAAATGTATTATTTAAAATCTGTTAGATATCATTTCAAGCTTGCAAAACATTTTAATTTTTTAAAACATTGATTGCATATTTTTAATTATTACATATTTAAAATTGTTGCATTTCACATGAAAGTTTTTTAATTAATCATTCATTATAAATGCATGGGTGGATTAGATAGATAGATTGAGAGAGACAGGTAAAGATAGATAAATGAATCAGATAGATATATGCCATAAAATTTTTTGAATATCTTTTTTTAAAATTTTCATAAAATATTAAGGTAAATAAAAAATAGCTAATGTAATTAAATATTTGGCTTGTTCAATTAAATTAAAACTAAAAGGTAATAAAGGGGGTTTTAGTAGACGATTTAATTAAATTTAAAGATATGATTTGTTTTAAAAACCTTTTACGACATTTTTTGACATTAATTAATAGGATAAAAGGCAATCTTTTTGAATATAAATATAAATTTATACACTTATTTAGCCCTATTTTATAAATGAAAGGAATTAGTACTTTAGGAAACTGATTTAATGTATGTAAGTTCTAATTTGTCGGATTTGCCAAACATTTGTGATAAGATAAATACAAGGATAATGTAAAATAAGTTTTATAATCATGTTGGTGTTAAAAAATTCTGCTTTCAAAATACCAGCTTTTTTAAATTAATAGGATAAAAGGCAATCTTTTTGAATATAAATATAAATTTATACACTTATTTAGCCCTATTTTATAAATGAAAGGAATTAGTACTTTAGGAAACTGATTTAATGTATGTAAGTTCTAATTTGTCGGATTTGCCAAACATTTGTGATAAGATAAATACAAGGATAATGTAAAATAAGTTTTATAATCATGTTGGTGTTAAAAAATTCTGCTTTCAAAATACCAGCTTTTTTAAAACAAATTAATTTTATTGACCTTCAATCTTAATTTATTTCGGAACTATATTTTCATATGCAATATTTATTTGGAAAAAACGAAAAATGTATAAAAATAATATCATTTTTTATTCCTTAATTTAAATTTTAGCCGTTATGATATGAATGAGATAATTTCATTATTAGAACACACGACAACAACAGTCGCCATTTTTTAAACCATAACCCATGACCGCCTGTGGAAATAAAATCACTTTTAACCAATCTATTAAACTTTTCAAAGCTATTAGAAACTTACGATAGACAAATTTTTTAGAACCGACTGGAAAGAAAGTCATTTCCCAAACACAATCCGACCCTGAAATAAGAAAAATAAAAAATAATTTACGCTAGAATGTATTTGTATATATTTTATAAGAAATAATCTTAAAAAAATGAATAAAATTATAAAATTATAACAAATCAAAAACATTATTTATCGATATCACTGATTAAATTCAAAATAATAATAAAAAAATTTTCCTAACCTGATCCTAATCGATTCACTTGAAAAAAATATCCCGATAATTATTAATTACAATATCGGTCCTCAGGTTGAGTTTTGCAGACCTCTAGCTTATAACCCCCCCCCCCCCCCCAAAACTTATGTTTTTCAACATTGTATTAAGAGAAAACTGTTTAATATCTTTTTCATCCATTGTTTCTTTATTATATTGTGTTTTGGATGGTCTTGGTTTTAGAATTATTTGAATTAAAACTTCAACAATGATGTTGTGAGCAAAAAATGTAGTGGATGAATATGCATTTTTTAAATTTTAGAAACCTTAAAAATTTATCCTAATTAATATCAAATGTAATAGAAATTTGGCTAATGTTGTTATACTCGTTGATTTAGTCGATTCTAGATTAAGATTTTAGCCAAAATAATATTTACGTAAGCCTCGAGATTTTTTAGCAATTGTCCAGCCATCTATGAATCTAGGCTTGTGTAATTTTTCTTGGCTAAAAAATTGGGGTTGCCGTTTTTAAAAATCTAGCCATTTAACAACACCAGATTTTGCTGGTATTACATCGTTTATTATTTTTCATATCATCGTCCGTTTTCTTATTTTTAGACAGTAAACCTTCATGTCTCCTGCTATAAATAAGAAGTTTTTTAATTCATGATTACAAAATTTGCTTTTTTGTGACCCGCCACAAATGAAATGAAATAAGAAACATTTTGCAATGAATTTTTAACAAAATTAATCAAGTAAAACTAAAAATTTTACTACAAATATAATAAAAATCGGAACTTTAATCTTTCATAATACTAACCCCATTATTTATAAAATCACGACCTCAACAATCAAATGAAAAATTTTTTTTTTTGCAAATAAACCTAAATATTGGTTATTTATAGATACACACGCATACATCTAATAATATGATTATATTTTTTTTTATAAACTCGAAATATAGGTCAGATGGTCTGCTTGCAATATTTACTCAACGCAAAACGAGGTCGCTTCCGCTCTCGCAGAATCAAATTACCCAGTTTACGCGTGGAAAGGTGAGAGCGAGGAAGACTTTTGGTGGTGCATAGAAAAATGCATAGACGCGCCCGACTGGGATCCTAATATGGTTTATACCTTATTATTATGTATCTTCTTTTTTTTGAAAAAAAACTTTTAATTCATACTCTTATATTTCATATAATAAATGACATTTTGAAACATCAAAATAAGTATAAAATTTAAATTTATATATATTTTTCCATTCTTCTCTTTTATGACTTGTTTTTGATACAGTTTATACCAGGGTTGGCAACCAATCTAATGTTAATTGACCGCAAAATGTATTGATCAGTCAATGATTAGATGATATTATATTATAATTTTACTATTCTTCTGCTGAGTAAGTGTTCTATATCCACTTTTTTTGCAAAATATATATTTTTTTGATAAATGAATTCTTCATACTATATTCTTTATATATATATATATCACAATATTAAAATATAATGTATAATGATCTTTTATTTGTATTATTACATTACGATCTCCTATCTAAAATACATAATTCTCTACTTAATAATTTAAAATACTCATCCCATGATATATAAATTAAATTAAGATTAGTTCAGAGGTTCATAGCTAATTTGCCTAAAATTTGCAAAGTGAAGAGTTTATACAAACTGAATCAGAGACCCATGCCGGGTCGGTGGGCTGGGAATGGGCTTAATATTATATTTTCTAGCAAGCCTGGGGTTTTTAATATTTTTAATGGGCTGGACCTAAGTTTTTTAAATTTTGATTTAACTTATTTAAAACAGTTGCTAACAAATTAAAAAAATAATTCAATTTTTTTCTTCTAATAATAATAAATTTTAGTATTGCAAACAAAATGATTCTGTAAATACATTTAAATATTGTTTATTTTAATGAAATACATCTAAATATACTTAAATATTGTTTATTTTGATGAAATATGATAAATTAAATTTATATGGGCCGGGCTTGGGAAAAAATTTTCAAACTTATTAGGGGTTTGTAAATATTAAAAATGAGCCGGGCCTGGGCCAAAATTTTTTTTACTTCAGGCCTGGGCCAGGTCTTTTCAAAAAATCAATGCCCATGAAGGTCTCTGACTGGAATATGATTCCGGAAATATCATGACTTTAACTTTATAAAAAATACACGTTATTAATTGTTTAATTTTCTAAAATTGCTAATATTTCATATTTGGTCCTTATGAATGAACATATACACCAAGTAAAGTTAATGCTGCCTTAAAAATAACTGTAAAATATCACTCAGTCTAACGAATCTAATTTAACCGGTCAAATACATAACCCTGGTTTATACTATTTTTAAAATTCGAATACAATAGTTTTTCATGGTCGATGATATTGATTATATTAATTTTTTTAACTAAAGCTATATAAAAAAACACAAACTATTTAAGTTAAGTCAGCAGGACTTAGTGATTCATTATGTAAAGAGAAGAGTGAATCGACAAGTTTCAATAGTCACGTGTGATTGCACATAACCTTTGTCCTATTGTTTTGAATTATTTTAGGTCTTGAGGTTCAAATGAATCACAGGTTTATAATAGGATAGTTTGGATATCAGTTATATTGGTTTTTAAGTTTTCATTACTCTCATTATTTGGTGGGAAAAGGATCTGGCAAAACGATCCAAGCAGATGTAATTACAAGTACGAGGTATACCTTAATTCGAAGGCATTAGGGTCATATCGGGGTTGATTTTGTTTGATTATTGGTTTAAGCACAAGATTTATAATATACTTAACTCATATTTAAAGCTCCATCTTATATAAATTAATTATTGCAAGATTTAATGGCGTCATTATCTTCATTTTTTTAAATTTAATTCTCATTTATCTGATATAAAATTTAATTGGTGCTATTTTAATATCCTGGATGATATTACCTATTTTTATTTAGAGACCGATTTAATTCTTGAATAATAAATTATTTGGTAAAATATTTTTTTAGGGAATAAAATAAAAATATATCAATAAAAAAAGTATTATAAATATATAATTTTTTATCCACAATTTTGATTATTTAAAAAAAAATACTGGTAAAACATTCTTTTCCTCAATTAACGTATCTTGGTATTTCAGATTTTAGATGATGGAGGCGACGCCACCCATATGATGCTCAAAAAATACCCGGAAAAGTTCAAAAAACTCAAAGGGATCGTGGAAGAAAGTGTAACAGGCGTTCATCGACTTTACCAACTCTCCAAAACGGGAAAACTTTACGTCCCTGCCATGAATATTAATGATTCCGTTACCAAAGTATATGCGTAACAGTTTTAATTTAAAGTATTGAGCAATAGGGAAGGAGGGGGGCATTGTTGAGCACACCTAAAATATTAAAAGTCTCTTATTTTAGAGGAGGTCTGAATGGCAGTAGCTGGTAACGTCACTGATTATAATTATCAAACATTCAAGACAGCTCTATTAAATTTTAGGGTAATTTTTATAGACTAATTGACAAGCCATTTAAGATCCGACAATTAATTCGTAATTTGAAACACATTTTTTTTGATATACATTTTTTTTTAACAGACTAAATTCGATAATTTGTATTCTTGCCGAGAATCCATTCTAGACAGGTTAATAAAAATGAAATCCTAAGATTAATTTTTTTTATATCGATTTTGTTTTCTTCTCTCATTATATAGCCTTAAAAGAACGACAGATTTGATGTTCGGGGGCAAGCAAGTGCTTGTTTGTGGTTATGGAGAGGTATTATATTTTATATATAATATTTAAAAAAATCTATTGTGCACTTTCTTTCTCGTTTAAAATGACCATTTATAACTTGTAAATTGAGCATCTCTTATTTTGAGGCATACAATCGGTTTTATCAATTCTTAAAAGGTTATATTAGCAAGGACTCCAACAACATCAATAATTAGAATTGTTTTTAATCATTTTTTTATATATATTATAAAATAAGAACGTTCGTTGTTTCTCTAACTTTTATAAATTTTAAGAGAAAATTTTCTTATATGCGAAGGTTGAATAAATGATATATTTATAATAATTTAATTATTTTAAATAATAATTATTATGAAATTACATTGAAAGGGGGGCCCCTATTTCTCACTATCAATTAAATTTTATTTTAATATCGTAACTATTTCTTTTTATTCAAATAAAATATTTATTCAAAGTAGGGTTTTTATATGGTAAAAACTTTGATTACTTTATGAGTTTAAATTTAAATATGATTTTTTCTTTTAGTCGCACGTTCAATTATAGTTATATATTTTTTTGGTTAAAAAAAATTAACCTTTAGGGCACACCTTAATTATACTTATACAGTCAGGGCTCGTTTTAACTCTAGTTTTGTTATATCCCCGGTTTCCTCTAAAGTTAAACTTTTATTTTCTTTTATTAGGTGGGGAAAGGTTGTTGTGCAGCTCTAAAGGGTATGGGGTGTATAGTTATGGTTACGGAGATTGACCCTATTTGCGCTCTTCAAGCATGGTAATACATAATAATGATTTGCAAAAAAATGTTTTTGAAGAATACTGAAGAATAATTTGCATGATATACACTAGGCAAAAATATTTTTGATATCTGAAGATCAAAAAAAACAAGATATTTTTTTATATATTAAACTCTCATGATTAATTTTTTTTCAGAATTTTGAGCGAGAAGAAATCTGAAAATGTTCATTTGAAGATATTAAACTCTCTAATTTTAAAGGAAAAAATTTGTCAAAGTAATGATAAAACTGGAGTTTATTAGAAATGTTTGATATTGTGGTTTGATTTTAGTTAACCTTTAATGTTTTTAACAAAAAATTCTATCTAACATTATTAACTAATCTATTCATACTTATTAGCATGGATGGTTGCAGGATCGTAAAAATCAACGAAGTTATCAAGAATATTGATATACTAGTCACCGCCACTGGTAAGCCATTTTACCTTATAATAATATCAAGATCATATTTAAAATATCAATAATATGCTATCACTAGTGTTGTTAAAAACCCGATTGGGGTCGATATTTAAAAACTGCCCGATTAAGATTGTAACCATTATAATATTATGTAAGCCTGGTGATTTTGCTCATAGGTGGCAGTAGTGTTGGTTTCTACTTGCCAAATTTTGAGGCTTAACACAATATTAATTTGACTAAAATCTTAATCGGGCATTTTTAAAAAATCGATCCAATCGGGCTTTTTAACAACATTAGCCACCATCATTACATCGTATATGTTGAACTGATTATTATGTAATGGAAAAAAATTTAAAACTTATTTATATCCCGCATTTCTATTTTAAGACTTGATTCTATCGGAATCGTATTTCAATATGCATAAAAGTAAGCTACCCTGTGGCTTTCAAATTGTGTATTTTATATATTTTTTTAAAAATATGGTTTTAAATTAAAAGTATTTAAGAAGCTCACGTCAAAATACTAATAAACCCAAAGGGTAGGTTCTTATATATTTTTGATTGCTAATCGCAAAATCACGTCTTTCAAAAAAATTTTTTTAAAAATCTCGCCCTATAAATGATTCAAGTTTTAAAGTTTTTCTAAAGACCCAGGTTTACGAATACGACAGACTTATATAATGTTAATGTTATGCCCTAGTTTTAGAATATTTATAATATTGATATAACGCTAAGAGGATATTACGAATCGTTAACTTTTTTGAAGACTCATTTAAGTTTGCAATATTCTTGGTAAATGTTACCACAACTAATAGCAGTTATCTAAAAGACAGGGTAGGTTTTAGTAGTTACGACATTTCTCTTGCATGATATCCACTTTGGGTTCAATTCCTATCAAAATCAACACTATCAGTTTATAAAGTAAAATTTTTGGGGAAAAAAATTAATTAAAATAGGCCTGATCTTTGGAAAATAAAAATAAAATTGGTTTAAATCACCATTTAAATTAAGGGTAGAGATAGCCTATTTGAAACTGCCTGTGACTTATGGAAAAAAATTTCTGCCTTTTATCTCTCACATAGTCCTCGGCACAAAGGGACTTTCTTAACCCCCTTTTGGCTAACTTTAAGATATTGGTGGGGATTAATTCTTCCCTTAAAGATACTTAAATATTTCGGACAAAACTCAGGCCATGAAGCTGTCCTTAGTGCCAATCTCGGTCTTTTCTATCCGAAGAGGAGTTAAGGGTGACCATAAGATAGACTAGTCTGTGATATATGTCTACCCCATATATTTAAAGGACGCGGAAATGATTTCGATTGGTCTAAGCTGTTTATATTCTAAAGGCTCTCGAATAAATTAGCGTTGGCCAATCCTACACTTATCCCTGTCTGAGGGAAAAAAGCCAGATGGGCTCACAAACATTCCTTGGTTTAAAGGAAAACACCTTATTTGGGATTTCACTTGTGTTTTCCAATTTGATCCGATTATTACAGCTGTAAGGTCAAAATTTAGAAAATATAACGACTTTTCTGATTATCCCAATAGTTATTATACCAATGAGTCCCTAGGCCTCCTAGGCTCTCATTTTTTTAAGATTTTAGGTAAAAAAAAATTTCAAATTAATGGTGATCATGGATTCTCTTTTAAAATGTTACAATTAACTCAAATTGCTGGGTTTCGAGGCAGCTATCGTAGTTTCCTCAGATTACGAGAGTCTTTTTTTTTGCTCCTTCCCTCCTTTATTTTTAAAAAAAACTTATTTTTGTCTTTTTTAAAATTATTTACTTAAGGCTGCGTCCAAATTCATTTGAAAAAATACTTAAAATTTTAAAATTTTCACAAATTAATAACAAAACACTTTGGACACATTTAAGTTTTAAAAAAATAAGTAAATTCAATTCAAATTGTTAAGGCAGATTGTCTATTGCATAATATAATAATAGATAGAGAGGGCATTCAAAATATAGAGCTTAGTTCAATTGAAGAATGCCCTTCACCAGATTCTATTGAATCTCAATACCATCACTCAAATGAGAACTTTAATAATATAAGAGAAAATTTTATGATAATTTAATAAATACATATATATTGTAAATAATTGCATCAAATAAACAGTTTTTTTATTTAAATAATGATAAATTGTCAGAGGATAATTTTTTAAATTTAAATATATCATCAATTGTCATAGCATTAGTTTGATCCAAAAAGGATTGATAGAATCCCATCATATGATGTACATCCTTAATCTTTTCCATTTTATTTGAATCTAATATTTCTATTTTTTTAAATAATATAAGTGTTATTTATTATTTTACCTTTTAGAATCTCTGTTCTTTCAGATTCTATAACTTGGAATATTTTTAATGATAATTGGGTTTTCATTCTCTTTGTTTGTGGTATCTTGATCTAACTTCTTCTTCTCCGTTTTATGGCGATTTCCAGGTTTACCCGGGTAGGCCAGTTTTCCCTCTGATTTTTCTTTTCCATTTTTGACGGTCCTGAGTATCAATACTTGTAAGATTCAAGCTTCTCATATCCGCCGCTATCACATTTGTCCACGTCATCTTGGGTCTTCCTCTAGGTCTTGATCCTCCTACTTCCATCATTGTGCATCTCTTTACCTAGTCATCTCTTGTCATACGTTCCACATGCCCAAACCATCTTAGTCTATTTCGTCGCATTACCATACCAATCATTTCTATAACTAATCTTGCTCGCAATTCCTTGCTAGTTTTTCTCTCTCTCAGAGATACCCCACACATCCATCTAACCATCCTCATCTCTGTTCTTTCTAATTTGGCTTCGTGAATTGCTTTCATTGCCCATGTTTCACCGCCATAAACTAAACAACTCCTCACGCAGCTTACGTAAACTTTCCCCTTTAACTTCAGAGAAACTTTTTTATTTGTAAGAATAGATGACATCTCTCTGAACTTCTTCCAAGCTTGTCTGATCCTTGCAACAACAGCAGAATCTACACCACCATCTGCGTTTAGCATATCACCTAAATAACAAAACTTATCTACTTTTTCTAGGGTTAACCCATTGCCAATATCCAGACCACCATTTTTTAGGTTATCATTATTATGTATCCCTTTCATGCATGTTTTACAAATAAAGGTCATTCTTTCTAACATCAAACTGCCTTTTTTCCCACTACATCTTTTATGTACCCATTTCTGGCATCTGGTGCATTGGATAGAATTTCTAGCAACTCCTTTCCCACATACACCACAAGGCCACTTACCTGATTCTTCTATCTTTAGATTTTCCCCACCAATCATCACCTTTGTTTTTGATGCATTCATTTTCAGGCCCTTTGCTTCCATAGTCATCTTCCATTTACTAACTTTATCCCTCAATTCTCCCTCACTGTTTGCCATTAATACAAGGTCATCTGCATATAATATCTCCCAGGGAAGTCCTTCACGCATTTCTCTAGCCACCACATCCATTACTAAGATAAATAATAATGGACTCAGCACGGATCCTTGATGAAGTCCTACCTTCACCTCAAAGCTGTCACTATCACCATGATCCGTCCGTACTGCTGTTTGTGCTCCAACATACATTGCCATCACTGCGGTAACTAACCATTCCTCCACACCGGATTTTCTCAAGGCCCATCTTGTAATCTCACGCGGCACCCTATCAAATGCTTTCTCCAAATCAACAAACGCATAATAGAGTTTCTTTTCCTTCGCAAGATACTTCTCCTGAATTTGTCTCACCACAAAAATTGCATCTGTCGTGCCTTTTCCCGATGTAAAACCAAACTGCATTTCATCAATTTTGATTTGTTCCCTTATCCGCTTTTCTAACACTCTCTCAAATACTTTCATTGCATGTTCCAAGAGTTTAATAGCTCTGTAAGACCCACAATCTAAAGGATCACCTTTCCCCTTGTATACTGGGATAATTATACTTCTTCGCCAGTCCTCGGGAATAGTACCTTCTGTGACAATCTGATTTGCTAAATTCATTAACCATTCAATCCCTAAATCATCAGAACCTTTAAACATCTCTGATACCACCATCGTTAAACCCGATGCCTTCCCTTTCTTCATCTTTTTCACTGCTCTCCTTATCTCGTCCTTGCCAAATTTACACCCTGGACCTTCTACCTTTGCACAACTAATATTATTATTCCATTCATTTTCTTCATTCAAAAGTCCTTTCATGTAAATCTTCCAGGTGTTCTTAATACCACTACTATCAATCGTCATTTTTCCTTCCATATTTTTCAAACACTTTACACCTATCACATCCTGCCTCTTTTTTGACATCTGTTTTGCCATTCTAACCATATTTCCAATTCCATCAGCGCATTTCATTTCTTTAGCAAACTCGTGTCTTTTTTCTTCTTGAGCCTTCGCTATTAATTTCTTAGCATTTCTTTTAGCCATCTTGTAAATATCATTATCACTATTTTCTTTGCTATTATACCATACTTTGAAACACCTCCGTTTCTCATCCACGGCTTTCGCTACCTCTGGGCTCCACCACCAAGTCTCCTTATGTCTAGGCGGCCCTTTTGTCCATCCACATACCTCCTCAGTTGTCATTACCCAAGCTTTCTTCATGGCTTCCCACTTGTCATTCACCCCAGATGCTTGTGCCACCTCCGCCTCCCTAATCGCCAATGCCATATTGAATTGACGTCTAGCATTCTCCTCCTTCAATTTCCAAACCTTCAGCCTTGGGACAAACTTTCTTTTAGTGACCCTGGCACCTTTAAGAGTGAGATCTCCTACAACTAGTCGATGCTGATTTATACATTCCTCTCCCGGTATCACGTTCACATTTTTTATTATACATCGATCACATCTCCTTAATAACAAGTAATCCACAACACTTTTGGTACTACCCGACTTATAAGTCACCAGCTTCTCTGATTCTTTCTTAAACATTGTATTACAAACAATCATATCCATAGCATCACTAAATTCTAAAATCCTCTCTCCTTCCAAATTTCTCATGCCGTAACTGAACCCTCCATGTACTCCTTCATAACCCTCACTACTCGCTCCCACATGTCCATTCAGATCGCCAGCCAGGATAATCCCCTCTTCATTTGCCAGTCTCGATGTCACCCCCAATAGACTGTCCCAAAATACATATTTCTCTTCTTCACTTCTTCCAACCTGAGGAACATATGCCGAGATCATATTATATAGCTTTCTACCAATAATCATCTTGATAACCATTATCTGGTTGTCTAGCCTTCTCACTTCGACTACTTTGTCTACCAATTTCTCCGCAACCAATACCCCAACTCCAGCCTTACCATCATTACCTCCTTGCCAAAAGAATTTATACTTTTCGCTAGTCTTGCCAATCATTCTGGTCCCATTTCCTTTCCATCTAGTCTCCTGTATGCAGCACACATCTATATGTCTTCTGTGCAATACATCGACGACTTCTCCCGCTCCCGTCATACTCCCAACATTCCATGTCGCGACCCTAACTCGATCACCCGTAAACTGGTTTCTCCACTTTTTATTAGGTCGTTTATGGCCGTCATAGGTTTCATTTTCATGGATAGTGGTTCCACCAGGTTTCCCATCCTTCTTTTTGTCGTAGGCGGATGAGGAGGCCCACGGGATGCTTCTGTTGTTGAACCATAGGGAAATTTTTGTAGCATGGTTTTTACAATCGGATGCCCTTCCTGACATCAACCTCTTTAAGTGGTTTTTACACCCCGTCGAGGAGACGGTGATCCTATTCTAGACCCAGATCACAGGGAACCTTTTAGACCTCCATTTGCCGCCAAAAGACGTTGCCACTCCCCCGCCACGATGAGGCTGAAGGTAGGATTTTGGGAGAGGTATCTTGATCTAACTATTATTCAATAATAAATATAAAATAATAGTAAAATAATGTACAGCATCCAATTCAAATACTGGATTAGCAATTTGATTCAGATATGATTCTGCCTAAAAATAAATTACTTTTTAAACAAATATAAAATAATACTGTTCCCAGATGGCTATTTTCATATTCCTAATTAAAATCAATTTTATATTTTTGTCTTTTAATATTTTACATTTGTCTGTGTCAATATCAAGCTTGACTCAGAAAATTTGGTAATATTTTCAACATTTTCCTTCAACCATGAATAATTTTCAATATATATGACATCTTTCCCTTTAAGAACTCCAGAACCTAAAATATAATATAATTTAAAAATAAAATTTTTATTTTTACCTGATTTTTGCTGGGTGAGAAAATATAACTTATTAAATTTAGCCTTTACTGCTAAAAATTTTTTCTTCACTTGATCATAATTCAAGCTATAGGTTTTTCCTATTTCCTCCCATATTCGCTTGTTTTCTACAGAATCTCTAAATTTTAGGTCACTTTTACACCAGAGGCTTCTGTGCTCTCTGATGCTCTCCATAAAATTATACTCAGACACTAAAAAATATATTAATATATAAAGAATTTGCCTAATTTCTATAGAATCTCTATTTAATCACATAAGGTGATGTCAAAATATTAGCTCAATAAAACTTAGTAAATATTTTCTATATAAATAGTCTATGTCTTAATAAATCATACACTATTATTCTTTTTACATTAATTTCTAAAGATAATGGCTAAATTATGGTTAAAAAAAATACAAAGGTCTTGTGAAAAACATGGGCATTCATTCCAACAGCTTTATTCTTATTAAATGTAAAATCCTAGAAAGACATCAAATTTTAATCTGTTATTAATTATTGTTTCAAAATTTATAATATATACACTTACTAATCTTAAATGTACACTTCTCCCAACCATGTTATCCCTGATATTTTTATTTATTGGATTTTCATAATCGTTTTGGTTAAATTTATAAAAATTAATATCATTAAAAATTTTACTTACTAATTTTCTTCTAAAAATTTCAAAATTTTGAATATATTTTTATTCAACTTTATTTTTTTTTATTATTTTTAAAAAAAAATAAATTTTTACAAATATCGAAAAATGAAATAGGACACTATTTTATTTTTACATTAAAAATAGCTTATGTTATTTTTTTCCTCAAAATTTATTTATTTATTTTATTTTTTTTTAATGACTTTGGACGCAGCCTAATTAATTTTTTTTAAAATTTTTTTTAAAAATGTTATTTTAATATAGATAATAATTAAATATTTTTTAAATAAATTAAACTATTGAATTAATTTTTTTTATTTCAAGTAAACATAATAATTATCAAAATCTATAACTTCTTATTTTGGTAGGTTAAAATGAAAACTTTTTAGTGGCCTTTCCTAATTATAATAAAAAATTTTCATTAATTTGAATATTAACGAGCAATCCTTGGCAATAAACAGCCTGACATTCGTAAAAAAATACAAAAACGGATATGCTGTTGGAGGCCATACCAAGTGAAAACTTGGGCTTGTTTATTCCCAGAAAAATTACGCAAGCTATAGGACTTCGAACTAATTACCTAATAGTTACTCCCTTTTAATGCATGCTTTGTAACATGCATGTTGCATCTAACGGACACTACCCTTTTCATTGTAAATATTTAATAGGATGGTCTATTAGACACATCATATACAACATAACGCCAGGCCTTAACAAAGGTAAACATACCTTCAAGTTCAACTCCTAGAACCAACAGGGATGAACCTAGGGGAACAATCCGATGGAATATCACTCGTCCCTTGGTAACTGAATCGATCCCTCTCGTGGAATTATTCAAGTATAGGTATAGTCACAGCATCTAATATTTACACCACTCCACTGAAGCTGCAGAATCTAAATATTAAAATACTCCTTTATATCAAACTATAATTTTATCCTGTTAATTAGCATTATTCTTGTTTGGGGGAGAATTTCTAAAAATTACTCTTTAGGAAAATTTTTCACAACACTGGGATAGCTGCGGAAAGCTTCTATATCCGACAAAAAATCGGATTAGAAATATGTGAAATGTAAACTCAATACATTGATGGATACCCATTAAATATTTTTTTAAAACATTAATTTTTTTTAGCTTGTAATTTATAATTTTATATGTATTTTTTTTTAAATGTCTTGAATAAGTCTTATTTATAAAAAGAATGACCAAAAAAATATAAGATTTTAGCATTGAAATATTTAAAATGAAAAACTAATTTTTCAGCTTTATCTTGTCCCAGTTTATAGATTTGACTAATCCAAAAATAGAAAACATTCTTCTACAAAGCGCTTATTGAAGATTAGAATTAATTATGACCGAAAAAATTATATTGTAACTCTACCTTTGTTTGTTAATTAATTATTAATACCAGGTATGTTCCAATTATTTTTCAACACCGATATGTTCGATGATTTTTGCCCAATACATTCAATGATTGTGTGATTAAAATTATTTCTTTAAAAATTCTCTATGAGGCTCAAATTTTTAACTTAAATTATTTGTCAATATTTCGGTTTTCTTCACGAATTTTACAATGTTGGCCATTGACTATGTATAAATGTGTTTTACCTGCCTCAATAAGGAGCTTTACACAGAGCATTAAATTACCAAATATTTAGTATTTCTTCTTTTAAACTTTTTACCTCTAATGCATTAGAATATATTATAGATATGAATAGCTCATCTATTAGGTTAAAATAGTTCCAAAATCAAAATGTATGCTAATAGTATTCCTTATCTTTAACATGTTTATGTATTATCTGTAATTACACTGCAATTAAAATCATTTTTGTATTTTATAATGACCTATCTTTTCAAATTTTAAATTAAATTTTCTCACATTTGTAAAATGTTTATAATTTACTTTTCATATGTTTAAATAAAAATATGAAGATATCCCTCTTTAATTTGAATAAAAATATAACATAATTAATATGGTTAAAAATTGTATTCAAAAATCCCCAAGTTTAAAGCTTTAATCATATAAAGTCCAACCTCTCTTTTTTTTTAAAAAAAAATATGCCTTGTTTCAAAACAGATGAAAAAACAGGTGCATATCACCTTTAAATTATTTTACCTAAATTTTATATTTAAAAAAAATCGACCAATCAAATTATGGTTTTTGTTTATCAAAATTGTATTTTTGCTAGTTGAAGTAACTTTTGGGATTTGCATAAATTATTATTAAGTATATCAATATCTTAAATAAAACCATTTTATATGATAATTTTATTATCTTTTAAATTATATCTCATAAAGGTAATAAACACGTCGTTTCAAGGGAACACATGGATAAAATGAAAAATGGGTGTATAATTTGTAACATGGGACACAGTAATACCGAAATCGATGTGGTACAATATTTTTTTTATAATAGTTAACTTTCAATATAAAATGGCCTGATCCGTAAATTACATCTTAAGGATTCTTAAATCCTCATTGAAATTACTGAAGAAGATAACATTTGAATGTGTAAACATTCAAATGATATGTTAAATGAGCTAACTTTAAAAGGTTACAATTTAGATATATCATCATCGCATAAGTGTATTAGTAAATTGTCATAAACGCCATTTAAAATGAGATAATTGAGTTATAAAATCTAATTTAAGAAAAACAAATAAAATTGGATGGTTTCGTCTTTCCTAAATATGCAATTAATTATTTTCTAAAAATAAAATTATTTTTTTTTCGTAGAATAAAAAAACATGGTTATAATTTAAACGGAATAAGTTGTCTTCTCATTTTTTTCAGTGCTAATTAAATTTTTACTTTGAGTTCTTATTATGAATTATTTATCAAATAAACAATACATAATTCTCTATTATATATATATAAACCCAAAGAGACTAAATATAATGGAGATCGTTATAAAATTATGAGATAAAGTTGATATTTATAAGAGTTAAAATTCTAAAATATATTTTTATATGGATTTAATTGTTACAAGACATATAAAATATGCATATGGCCCTTGTTTTTTTTTGTAGGCATAAAGATATAATTTAAATATTATCAAATTCTGGTCTTATCTCTTTCTATTTTTTAAATATTGAATAGTTCATTCGAACATTTAAGCGACAATATCCTCTCTTTGCTCTATGAAAAATATTATAATATTAAATAAATGCTTTTAGGGTTATTTTCAAATGTTGCTCATACACAAAATATATTTTATATATGTTACGACTCAAGATAATTTCAAATAAATATTAAAATATGTGCAATCAATCGAATGCAAATAGCATTCGATTACATATATAGGGGAATACGATACAAATTTCATATACGGTAAATTATATTATTTATCAAATACAGGCCAGCTTAAGAACCTCCGACTTGATATGGGAAAAAGTAAGATCCCAAGTCGATCACATTATATGGCCTGATGGGAAAAGGATTATATTATTAGCAGAAGTATGTATATATATAAATATATGATGAATATACTAGTATATAAAATGTTGTTATCTTATATTAAATACGATAACACGAAATTGTAATTAAATAATATCAAAATTTGCTTAGGTTTAAATAATCGTTATTTTTCATCCCGGCCCCATTTCTTGGTATTTAATTTTGTTTAGGACTTTAAAATAATTTTCCATATGGATTCAAGGGGGACTTTAAAATATGAGGGCAATCCTACATTTAAACATTTTGTCTTAAGTGCTTCTCATTTTGCTAAGATTGTGTTTTTTTTGAAAATATTATATATTTTGGCTCAAAAGGAGTCATATTTGTTAAATGCTGGATGTTTTTCTCAGTGAATGAACATAAATTAAGAATATAATTTATATTATTTTTATAAAAATTTAGTTAAGCTCATTATTATAGTATTATAATCATAATAATTGTTTTTAAAATCTTATTCCAATTTTCGTTACTAAAAAATTTTTTGTTTTTAATCAGCTTATATCATGTAATATTAATTTGAGCAATAGTTTTGTTTTTATAACCATGATTTATTAATTTTTAAATGTTAAGAAACAGAAAATTATGTCATTTTAATAAACCCAACCAATATATTTATGTATACATGGGATATATTCCATTTCATATTATTTTTTTTATATTAAATTAATGTTATAATTAGATTAATTATATATGATCCTTGAATAAATATTTTAAATTGTATTTGTTTTCAAATTTTAACCAAATATTTGCATTCATATCAAAATATTCCATCGTATTTATACTTAAACTAATAGGTTCATTTAATTTTAAATGCCAATTATATTTAAATTTTAAAATAAATTAGAACTGATCTTGTGAATTTTAAACATTTTAGGGAAGGCTGGTTAATTTGAGTTGTTCCACAATTCCATCGTTCATTATATCCATCACTTCTGCCACTCAAGTACGCAAAATAATTTTTATTATGAGCTCCAGATTTTAAATTAAAAAATAAATATTATAAAGTTTTAAATATTAAATTATTTGACTTCTAACACTGGGAGTTAAAATTATTATTTATTAACTGACAAATCTATTTTTTTACATATTTAAATTGGTATAGCCCACTAACACATACTTCATTTATAGCTTAGATTTTAATAAAGACTTGATTTTCCTGGAATTGTATTTCAGCATGTGTATAATAACCTAGACCTGTTCGTCGGGCTTGCATGCCCATGCCACCCCACAGATTTATAAATTATCCGGGTGGGGTCTGACATTGAAGACATTTTTCTCAGGAGGTTCAAAAATTAAATGTTGGAAATATCCTCAATGATCATTTTGTTTCATTGAAATGTCAATCAGTATCACATGCTATTTTTCATCTAATAACTCACTTATTCATTTACGTAATTTATATTTCCCAAATTTGTTTAGTTCCAAAAATTTTTTAGTTGGGCTCGGGTCGGGCTGGAATAAAAAATATATGCTCGGGTGGGGTTCTGACACGAAATTTTTAAAATCAGGCTTGGGTTGCAAAAAAAATCACTTTGTAGGTCTCCAACCCTGCTACATATTTTATACTATTATTTATTTAATATTTAACCTCGAAATTATTTATCAAATGCTTTTAAAAAATACCATCGCTAGGCCTTAGCTTTGATTGAAATGTATAGCGCACCTACTGGAAGATATAAACAAGACGTTTACTTGTTACCCAAGAAGATGGGTAAAATACAATAAAATATTATTGATCAATATTGTTTTTTATAATTCTAACTAATACCAATATATATTTTTTTAATTAAAGGCCGTTTTGATACGTTTTGCCAAATAAATTGAATTAGTAATAGACATTTTTATTTTGTTAATACCAATTTATAAAAAAATTAAGATGAATATGTCGCTAGTCTACACTTAGCTGCGTTCGATGCTCATTTAACAGAATTATCGGATGAACAAGCCAAGTATCTTGGACTTAACAAAACGGGACCTTTTAAACCTAATTACTACCGGTTCACATTTTAAATCATGAAAATTTCTCTTAATACTAAATTACAATAAAAATGCATTGACTCTGATTCATTGATTATATAAATTTAATGTTTATAAAACCACAGATATTGATCAAATGATATAATTACTCCACACAAATACAAACGTTATGGGCCAGTCATCCTTTATTTAATATATTCTTTTCTTTTTTAAAAATAAAATAATTTTTAATTTTTAGGCAAAACAATGGATAGTTCATTTAATAAATTTTTACATTTGTCCCAATTATACTATTATAACTATTTATTGAATTAATTTTAAAAAATTTGTAATATAGTTAAGACTTGTTTTTTTATAGCATTTCCAACTAGACCTCTATTATATTTATTATTATACAAAACACATCTTTTTTAACCCTAATCCCATGGTATGAACTTATTATATCAATCTTTTTGTTTCTAACAATTAAGATATTTTTATTGTTTTTCTTGAATCAATTATTACCTCCTAAATTATTTAATAATGCATCAGTCATACAAATCCTTAACATACTTTCTTTTAAATCGTATATACCTCGATGTATATTATGTCCTATTTTTTGCTTATTCTTATTTATATATTCACTCATTTTAAATTATCAACTGAATTAGTTACCGATATAATATTTTGATTAACTATAGTACTCCCAAGAACGATGCCACTATCTTAACGAAAGGCAATTCGTGCGTTAAATATTTCGTCGTTTTTAAAAAATTTCGATTCTAATTACACATTTGCTTCATATATAATTTATTATTATATTATAATTATATATATTTTTTATAACATTATATATTGATATTATTTAATTTATTCGTGCACGAACATCATTATAAAATTTAAAAAAATCAAAGTTGTTTGAATACCATATTTAAAATATTGCATTGATAGGATTAATCTTTACTTTAAGACATGATAAATACTGGATGTGTTTTTTTTAAATTAAAACTTGTCTTAAATTTTATTTAGAATCAGACAGCATCATTATTGTTCCAAAAAGGTGAACTAATACTTATATTATGTTTAGTTAGATGACTAGCTTAAAATATTTTTTTTTCATCGATTCCTAATAGAATAAATGCCTATTGGTTGCATTAACCAAGTTTAGGGCTTAAAGGTTTGATATGAAGTAAGGCTATTTATAACAGATGATTAGAGTATCCTACATTTCAAAAAGACTGTCATTTGCCATTTGTCACTTATATTTTTATTTGATATCCCCTCACCCAATCCACATCGAAGATGGTTAGTTTGGTTGTATATATCGTCTTCCATAGGAAATCACTTAGCCTTGATCATGGGTAATTCAGTGTCGATATGCTTATATTTGGCTGTTTGCCAATTTTATTTGTAAAAAACAATGGCTGCGGAGAGGCGGAAGTTAAATATACATTTATTGATAATTTAACCAAAACTAGGTATCACTTTCTGAAAACCTTAAGAGGCGTGGAGCTTACTTTCGTAAAAAATCAAGCCGTTAACTTAGGTCAACACGGATCAGCTAAACATAAAGATCTTTTTGATTTTACTATACTAGAAAGTTCGAGATAAGTTCTGATGATGGCAGAGGTCGTCTGTAGATCTTTCGTTTATTTTACCAAAATTAGGTATGGGTGAGACCTGAGTTGACTATTAGTGTTACTATCGTGGGTGTACCCCCTATCAATTCTTTTTTGGTTTTTAGCCCTCGAGGAGGAAATAAAGAAAAATTAGTTTTTTGATTGTTAGGATTGAGAGTCGATTTAATAATCAAGAAATAGGCCAAATAAAAAAAAATCTTATCCGGTTCTTCGGTGTCCTTTTGGCATTGAATCATTTTTTAATGATTGACGAATAATTAAATCATTAAGATATTCCAAATAAAAGTTTTAAAAAATTCTTTAAATTCTAGTATTGTCAAGTGTGAAGATTCGACCGAATTTAAGAATAAACAATTTGTCAAATTTAATCTTAAATTCCATATCATTGCAGGAGGTTTAATAATTCATTAAAATATTTCTTAATTTGTATAATAAGTATCGGTAGTATAATATTTGTGACATTATTTTTTATATAATATAAAGAATTTATTCATATTCGTAATAAATAAAATCTATTATATATATTTATATATCATATTTTTGATAAAAAAATATTTACCCCTCTTCTTCTCTGCCAAAATTTCAAGCAATATACCACTGGTTACTATATATTAGATAATTAGAGTAGCTACAAGTTAATATTTTTAGGAAATAACATTTTTTCTTAAACATGATCAGACATGATGCTGGTTCGGTAAAATCAAATATAAGCCTTAAGGTTTACTGATATATTATATCTTAGGACAATAACATGCAATGTTTTAATATAATTTTTATAAAAATGCAAAATATTGATAAATTAATCTTTATATATAAAGGAATTATTAATATTGAAATAACAGCTGTGGCATAGATGATTAGATTTGAGTGAGGCCAGGAAATCTCTAATTCTCTCTTCGACATGAAAATTATAGTTTATCTGAAACGAACTTAACCTCTTGACATTAATTTTATTTAACTATTTTTGACATCTGACATGGGATAGATCTGCAATATATTTTTCAGAGCATTACTTCCTAGGTAGTTGATAAAAAATGTTTTGGAGATTGGGGAAAAGAGTTAAATAGGAGCATTTAGCCTCCAATTTTTCTCACTCATTCCTATGCTGAATATATAATGCGATATCTGTTAGCTACTTTATTGATCACGATCAAAAAATTGCTCTTCGGATGGACTGTTTGACCTCAGTTAGTATTGTTAAACTGCCTGATTTCGGCGAATTTAAAACGGCATGATTACGATTTTCGTTAAAATAATATTATGTAAGCTTCGAGATAGTGTTCTTAAACGGCTCTTTTTGAGCCGATTTTTAAAAACGGCTATCAATATTTTGAACAGAAAAAATATTGCCCAGACCTCGAGATTTCGATAATATGTCTAGACCTTTGTTCCTTCTATGAACAAAATCTTAAATCTTGCGTAATATTTTTCTGGATAAAATATTGAGACTAGCCTCACTCTATCTAATGCAACTGTTATCATAATCTGATTACTTTTTTATTATACAAGAATAATTCACGTGTGCTTTTTTATATAAAAATAATGGTCTCTCTAATAAACATTATAATTTATCTATGTCAATGAATGTCAGTTATCAAATAAATGTCGCACATATTGTTATATCTTACTATGATTTCGTTAGTATTTAAATGATAATATCCAGAGGGATTTTTGAATATGGATATAGAAATTCTAAAACATCAATCAGAGCTTCCATGGTAATAAATATGTCTATTCTTATAAATAAATATATGGATATTAGGATCGAAAAATATAGACCTATTTATCTTAAAGATATAGTTGGAAATGAAAAGGCTATATCTAGATTTTCTGTACGATATCATCTTCATTTGTTGTTTTTATATGTATATGTAATAGGTATTTGCAAAAGACGGAAATCTGCCTAATATCATATTATCAGTAATTAATAACATCTTTCAAACTCATTATTATTATTAGGGACCACCAGGTACTGGAAAAACATCAAGTATTCTTTGTTTAGCTAGCGAAATGTTGGGATCTTCATATAAAAATGCAGTATTGGAATTAAACGCATCCAATGATAGGTTAATAGATAAATATATTTCATAAAAACATTGTAAATATATTCCTTTACCACTATGCTTAGTATTTAAGTTAATATTGTATTAATTTTTAAAAAATTATCTATCATCTTATATCCTTTACACACTATTTAATATTACTCTAAAATTTACCCTTTTGGAGCTTGTATAATTTCTGATGATCCTACTTGTATTATGATTTTTTTGTAAGTCATCAGATGTGGGTCAAATTTCTATCTCAGATAAAATCTGCTTATTTACTCTTACTTCTTATCTTATTTAAGAGGCAGCAATGGATAATGCTAAATTTTAGTGTTTTCTTTAATCATGATGGAGAAAATTAAATTGAAAGGCCAATGATAGTTATCTCCCAAGGGAGTAAATAGAATAAAATGATAGTTGCCCTCTGAGTGGATAAATATATTTTATTCATTATAAATGTATTTTACATATAATGTAAAATACATTTATAATGAAAAAAATGTAAAATACATTTATAATGAATAAAATATATTTACCCCCTTATTAATAATTTTTCTCCTTAGTTATCATTAGTAAATATGAAATTAGCTCTCTTGATGATAATTTTGCACCCTCAGTGGGTAAATTGAATAAATATTGAAAAGATGAAATTAGCTGCCCTCTCAGTGGGTAAATACAATAAATATAGAAAAAATAATGTTAGATTTCTTGGTGATAATATAAACCCCCTCACTGGGTAAATAGAATAAATATAGAAATATAAAATTAGCTCCTTTGGTGATAATATTTACCCTCTCAGTGAGTAGATAAAATAAATATAAAAAAAATAAAATTAGCTCCCTTGGTGATAATATTTACCCTCTCAGTGAGTAGATAAAATAAATATTAAAAAAATAAAATTAGCTCCCTAAGTTATATTTGCCCTCTCAATGAATAATAAAAGAATATTTTAAAAATATGAAATTAGCTCCCTTGGTTATAATATTTAAAGAATAATATAATTATATTTGAAATTGTTCAGAATTTTTGTCATCAGACATTATTTTTCCAAATGATAATGTATTAGGCCTGGATTTGAAAAATAAATTTCCATTAAATATTTAATTGATTTAATTAAAATTTTTAAATCTAATTTATAGATAAATAAGCAAAAGAAAACCCAAATGGTTAATTTTCTTATTATAACAAAAATAGGTTATAAATATATTTTATGAGTTTTTATAATCATTTATTTATAAATTTAAAATTTTTTTTGCTGTTAATAGAAGCCTACCTTAAAACAGGATATTTTATGTTAACATATTTATATTGACATCTACTCATTCATAATTTACACCTATTTATAGTAAACTATTAAAATTATAGTCTGAACCTATCTACTAATAATAGATCAATTATATATTTTGACATTTTTTTTATTTGATAAAAAACAAATAAGATAAAATATACATTTTGACATATTTTTATTATATAAAAAACAATAAGATCATATATACATTTTGACATTAGACAAAAGTTAAATCAAATATATATTTAAACTTTTTTATTAGATAATTTAAATACAAAATTTTTTTTGATTATTGTCAATAGTAGTATTGTTAAATGGCAACTCAATATTATCCAGAAAAATATTAAGCAAGTCTGAAGATTTTGGTCTTATATGACATAAAAGTTTGGACATCTCTTAGCTCAATCTCGAAATTTAGGCAATATTTTTCTCTCTAAAATAGTGAGTTAGCTGTTTTAAAAATCGGCTCAAATTGAGCCGTTTAACAACACTAGTCAATAGGACATCCAAATCTTTGAGGCTTCTACATATTTTTTTTATATATAAAAATAAAATTATTTACAGGAATCTTGATATGATAATTATTCTGAATTTTCACTTATATTTAATTTTTTTTCAATCACTTATGACATTAACAAGTTTTATTGGTTCCTGAAAATACAAATCTATATAAAATATTTTTAACTACACTATTTTCATAATTAATCTGAATTTAATCTTTCATAAAATAATTTTTCTTTATTAAAAATATTTAATTATTATTATCATCATGCAAAATCAAAAAACAAAGTAATATTTTTGGCATGCAGGGGGTAACTATCCTTTGTGAAATCATTAATTGTTTAATTTTAATATCATTATTATTGTTAAATTCGAAGTTTTGAATGAGAGAAATTGATCTCAATTCAAATTTAATTAATAATTCAAGAATTGAGTATAGTAAATAAATTTATTAAAATATATAGTTACTCAAATAATCATTATAGAATAAAATAATTCAAACTAAAAATATATAACTTTTTTCTTTTTTTTTCTTAATTATTACATTTTCTATCTCACTATTTATACTAATTTAAACGCTAAAATTTACATATCAGTCTAACACTTTATCTTTTTACAATTCAATTTCGTTAGCTCTAATAATTAAAATTTGCATATTATAAAAATCCTTCAAATATAATATAATAAATTAATATCTTTATCAAGCAATTACGACAATAATTAGTTAAAGATACATTGATACCAGGATGTGAACCCTTCCATAAGGACCCGGCGTCTAGGTTCAGGAATTTTATTTTAAAAAAGGTTCAGGGTTTGTAGAACATAAAGAAATGACCCAAAATTACAATTTTTTAAATATATTTATTTTACATACACAATATAAATACACATAATATAAACACACATACATAATTTACAAGTAAAAAATTTAAAAATAATTTATATTTAATTTCACCAATCATAACATCTTCGAAAATATTGTCTGAGATATTCACGCAGATCTGACAATATATATTTCAAAAAAAAAATTGTGCGTTCTACGCTGACCTAAAATACATAGCTATCTTTATAAACTATTGTATGTGTCGCCGATACACCCATGACGATTTTGAATAGAATGTAGTTCTGGATATATTGAAGAAATTTCAATCCTGAATTTTTAAATATTATTAACCTGTAAGAACTTTTCGATTAAAGATGATAGGTATTGGCAGTTCCTCCTTTATGGAAGTATAAAAACCAGAAAATTTTGAAAAATGCAAAGAAAAATGATTCCACGAAATTTTTTTTGACCTTTAGAACCTTCCACTCTTAAAAAGGGTCCTGGTTTGGGTTCAGCAAATAAAGGAAACTCCCTGATTGATGACACTTTTCAACTAATACTAAAACAGTATTTCTGATACTACCAATACTAAAAATGATTATTATATGTTATATTAACTAAAACAAGTGAAGCTATAATATATTTCATTAATATTGTACATTTTTTATTTATCAATTCTATATATAAAATTAAAATATACATTAAATCTTTTTAATAAAAACAAATTTTTACATCAAGGAGATTCTTTTGGTGTGAACTATGGGTTCTGGTGGAAACCCTATATAAAATCTTGATTATTTGGGATGAATATAATATTTCTTTACAATATATCGAAAATGAAACTTGATTTTATATAATTGTTTAATGCATAACATAGGGGCATCGATGTTGTCAGGAATAAAATAAAAATGTTTGCTCAAAAAAAATTATCCCTACCCATTGGCAAACACAAGATCATACTTTTAGACGAGGCAGATAGGTTCACTATTAATATTTTTCCGAAGTAAATATTTTTTTAAACAGCATGACGGAAGGGGCTCAACAAGCTCTCAGAAGAACGATGGAAATATACTCAACTACCACTCGCTTTGCATTAGCTTGCAATATATCGGAGAAAATAATAGGTTTAATATCAATTAAAAGATTTATTTACATAATTAGAGTTAAAATGATTTCACATTTCTTCTTTTGATCCTAGTGTTATAATTCCATTTGGGTCAAAATCCTATCCTTGGGGACCCCTTGAAAATATATTTATATAAATTATATATTCATTTCTATCAGATATAATTGTTGAAATAATCCAAGTAGAATTACGAAAAACTTGGTTGGAACTTTTAATAATTTTAGGTTCCGGTTCTATAAAAAATATAAAGTTCTGCTTTTAGAACCAGCAAATATCAATAATATAAAACATAATTAAATAAAATCGGCACGTTGATTTTTTAAAATTTTATCATATAATTAAAATACCATTTAAAATGGTTTTCAGACAATTTGTCTTAGCGGCGATTAAATAGGGTAATGAAGCATAGTTTCTATAAATTATTTGGTAACATCGCAGATGATCCTTGTATAAAAAATCATCATTTTTTGAATAGAAGCTATGGCTCAAAGGGTTAGAGATCTGTAGTGCAGAAGGTAAGCAAGCTATTTCGACCCAAGTTCGATCTTCGATGTGACCTATTTTTTCTGAAACCAACTTTAAGCATGTAGTTTAGATGAAAGAAATAGGGTTAATATTAATGTGTATATTGTTTAATAAAATTGGTCGTTTAATAAATCGCTATATTTTTGGAGCCCTGCAAATCAGGCTCTGGCCGAAAAAAATTGGACTGGGTTCAAGCTTAAATTTTTATTTGAAAAATAGGACATAGCTCTGGCAATAATAATAAAAATAAAGAAAATTTATATTTTCCCTTCTTTTATTAAAATAAAATGATAACTATAATTTCTCTTTGATAATGACAAAGCAATTCATGATTTTAACTTAATAAGAATGACTAGTTTATATTTTTAATGAAAAATTTCAGGCCGTCCTACAAAATTAATTTTGTGGAACTCAAATATATTAGCCTCGACACTATGAAGTATGAATCATTACCCGATAAAATAATCTAAAGTATGAAAATGTTCTTTCAACACTGGCCCGAAAAATATTTTTTCACAATTCGATATGTATGTGATGAACCAAAAATCAACTAATTTTTTTAAATGTTAAGAATCGCTTCTTTTAGTTATTATTTTATTCATTTTCAGCTCTTGATTGAAATATTTCTAAATTATCTTCACAGGACAGTGACGAAGCGTCAAGTTTACTACTAGGGAAGTAATTGAAAATTTTATTTTTATTTATTAGTCAAACCATAAAAAAATTAAAATATATAAATTAGTAGAATTCGTCTTTGTTTTTGAGTAAAATGATCAAATATGGAATTATAAAAGTTATTGCAAGAATTTGAATTTTTTGATAAGTTTTTTCAATCGAAATCAAAAATAAATTTATAATTTTTTTTTTATAAACTTATAATTTATTCATTAAAAGTTAGCGGAATATCTATAAAATTATTTTACAAAATTCTAAATAAATTTATTTGCTTAAAATAATTTTGTGCATTAATGGTATTGTTTATAATTAATGGGCGTCATGGTTAAGCAAGGATTTATAAATTCCTTTGCATGATACAAATATTCTTTACAATCTTGAACTGATATCTATATATATAAATATAGTTTTAATATTATATATATATTTTTTATTCTAATATTTTTATAATATATATTTATTTAAATTTATATGCTCATACATGTGGTGAGATAAAATTTGCATTTAAATATTTTTATTTTTTAGATAAAAAAGCGTTAAATAAAAGTATATCAAAATGTATCTTAAAAGTATCATTAACAGACACTGTTCTCTGATAATCTTGAAAAAATTTTATTTAAAAAAAGTAAGGGAAAAATATATTATATAAAAAATTATTTTCTTCCCCAATGCTTATTTTTTAAACGTAAAATTAGACATTACAATTACCATGATATAATTGCTTCCCACATTTTTTTTAACGTAGTAAATATAAAAGTAAATTTTTTAACATAAATATAATTCTTTTAATGTAGTAAAAATAATATTAATATTTTTAACGTTGTAAAAATTATATTAATTTTTATTACGAAGTCAGATTAGTTTTTTTTAACATATAAAGATTATATTAAGTTTATTTAAGAATTTTGTAGGAAAAATTTCAAGTGAAGCAATGCCTCTCTTGCTTCTATGGAAACTTAGTCACTGTTAAGGGATGACCGAGTATTTTTTTAATTCATCGATAAATTCGATCTGGCTCTAAAATCTAGACATGTCGCCTCTTCTCTATTTAAATAAATAAAAAATTTAAATAGTAATATTTATTTCAAATTATTTAAATATATTTACCGTAATATGTATGATTAATTTGATAAAAATTTGAAGGGACGAAAGATAATAAATTAATGCTTTGTAATTTAAAATAAATTATGATTTTATACTAAAATATATAATCATTATAATAATAAGATATTATTACATTATTAGTAAAATAATTTAATAAAATAAAATAGATTAATTATACATTAATATAAATTTAGCGCTAACATTATAATAATGTGCAACAAAATGGCCAAAGTCTATACTATGCATAGGATGTTCAATTACGGCGTTTCGGATATTGAAAAAATAAAGCTGAGATAATTGTATTTTACTATGTTTATGGCTAATCGTTGGCGTAGGTAGAATCCCTCGTTGGGATCCTCGGTCCTAGCAGAGATCCGTTTTTTAGCTCTTTAAAGAAGTCTAGGGCATGAGAGCCGAACGACGTTAAGGTAGTGGCGATTAATGGTAGGAATGTATAATTGGCGGGAAGAGATGGCGAATATTTAGCTAATTTATTCACCTCGGCATCTAGTATGGCATCTCTATTTATATTGGAAGGGCAAGAGAATAGATGCATGAGAAATCCCAGGTTAGGAATTCCCCCCTCTTCCAAGGGATCATAGTCGAACTATCGGGCCGCTTACCATCTGAATTGTAAAGGCCAGTAGGTTCGAGGGTTGATGGGATGCCGGCGGATTTTAAGGCCCTAGCAATGGTATCATTGCATTTTGAATGCCTAATGAATCTGCCTTTACAGCGCTTGCAGTGTAGAGAGTGATGGCCTTTGGAGTTGACCGACGTTTGACAGAGGAACAGTTATAAGGTATTACCATATCGCAATTCAGTCTAAGACCGATGGCGTGACGTAACTCATCATTGCTTAGGAGCTGGTAAAGGTTTCGGGATGGGAAGGCTTCAAGAAATTCGTATCCACTACCTTCGGAAATGGAGAAGAGTAGAGAATGGTCCTCTGGTTGGCTCCTCGATTTAAGGAATGCAACGGAGTTGCCAACTAGAGGTTTATCCCAATCCTTCTGTAATGCCGACGATGGAGTATCGACTCATGAGAGGAACTTCCATAGATCAATTGCCTGTTGGAGTAAGGGGTCAGGATGTTTTGTTAGCGTTTGAATGATGGGCTCGCAGGACAAGCGAGAGGATATGAACGCACTAACAGAAAGTAGGGAAGGTGACCTTATACCAATACCGCCGGATTTGGTTGGTAAGGTAGCCTGTAGCCATGATAACTCCCCAAATTTTTGAGTATATTTTCTATTAGGCGTTTAATCTCCAGTTCATGTGAAGCGAGGTTGACGTTATATTGAAAGATCCGAGACGCTCTAAGTGTATATAAAATTCTTGGAATTAAAAGGTAGTTCTTTAATAAGAAGAAAGCTTGGTGAGCTGGGAGGCGAGATAGTGTATCTCGCATAAGGGATATCTCTCGTAGGATATCGGCAAAGAACTTGACAAAGGACTCGTCTTTACCTACTGGAGATCCGAGATGTGTTAAAACGTTCAATGGTGTATGATTGAACATAGTATCGTGGTTAAGGTCAATGATTCCAAGAGGACAATATTCGCTTTTGTCTTGATTAACTCGAAGTCCCAAACTTTTCTCGCTGGATTTTATTATTTGGATTGCCTTCGTGACTTCAGTCGGTGGGCCGCCTAGTATGCCATCGTCGATATACCAGTTATGGAGATTTAGGTTGCATTGGCCATTAATTTCTCGTATTAGATTATTAATGCCCAGACAGAACAAAAAGGAACCTAGAGGGTCACCTTGTTGTATACCTTCGTTAGAAGGAATCAATCTATCTCCGAATTGAAGATGTGAGGGGTTAGCATAACAATCGAAAATAAATTGTGAGTATTCTGGGTAGAGGGTGAGAATAGGATTTAGAAAAGCACCACGCCTTAGAGAGTTAAAGGCGTTGGGATCCGTTTGTAGGTACATCAGGGTCATGTGAAGGGATACCTCACATCCACTTTTTATGTTGACTCCTAATTGATTCGGGAAAGGTGATTGGATATTGTGAACAATAATCTGCTAATTACAAGTTTGGCAGTTAATCGGCGCCAAGTGGTTCCAATAGCGATTGGGCGAATATCTTTATTGGGTTTATGGAGAGCGATGAGTTTAGCTCCGTATAGCAGTGGAATAATGGTGGGTGGTATGCCTCCAGTAAGCATACGGTTGATTAATTGGGTAATTTTTTCTAGAACGTCACATTGTTGTGTTATGTAAGGTGCGGTTAGGCCTTGTAAGAATATTGGGTGAAACCCATCGAACCCAGGTGAGGAATCGCGTTTGAAGGAGAGAATAGCCTTTCCAACGTCGCTTGCGGTATAAGTGGCCGCAATTAGAGGAGTTTCAGGGTAAGTCGGTATTTCATTTTTAAAATCGTGTGATTGGTGTTTTAGGAGAAGGGTCTGATAAGTTACTAAATCATAGGGAGCCAGTTTATTATCGGAGGTTGCCAGACGTATGGCGGATTTAACATTCAGGTTATCCAATTTTTTAGATATTAGCCTGGTCTTGGTGAGCAGGTCATTTTTGTGATTTCTATTTTTATCTGTGTCGTCACTCGTAAAAGATGTGGTAATGTGATTGATGGGTAAGGGAGATATTAGCATCCTTAATTTGTTGGGTCAGGGATTTTTTTCTGGTAGGATCAGGAACTTGTAAGGTAGTAAAGGCAAATGACAGGGTGTCTAGCCAGTGTCTTACAGAAGAATAATTATTTAACAAGGAAGTCAAGTTTTTTGACAGGTGTCTCGCAACTTGAAGCCTTGCTCCTTTCGGTATTCGTGAAATTACAAATGGTTTTGGTGTCGTTAGAAATATTTCTACATTTGAGTCGGCTGGGTCAAACGTCGAAGCATTTGTGACAGTGAAGGTAGGGATTATTGGGTAAGTGAGCACATCAGTCAATGATGTGGGAATGGTGACTATGGGTTGTTTAGTTGTGAGGGCAAGGGCAGAGAAGGCATTAAGGGTTCTAGGAATTGCTGGTGATAAGATGGGTAGCCCAGATTGAGGACACTTTATTTTATGGTTACTATGAGATGGCAATATTGGTTACTTTAATAAGTTTATTGCATAATGGGCAGTTGCATTTGGTAGGTGCTGTGCTGAGGTCTGGTAGGCTCATGGATTAGGAATTTTTTTCATATTTAAGGTGAAGGTGAATATCATTATTGTTAAAAATCACAGATGTATTTATGGATAAATCTATGTATTGTTCTGTAAATTAAAATTCATATAAGTAGAGTGTGAAGAAATTTTTGTTGACAGTTGTCATAAATTATATAATCTATTTACTAATAAATTTAAAATTTTCTTTCTGGAATGATTTTATAATTTTCATTGTCCATCTTTAAATCAGTTTATTATATGTGATCATGATATGTAAGCTTTGATTGCAAAGATGGTTTTACAATGGGGTAATTTATCTATATCATTAGTAATGGCATTATTGTGTTGTGGGAATTGAGGTGAAGAGGGAGAAATTCTAATGGTGAGTGGAACCAGAGTGTGTATACTTGAACACCAAGATGCAATAGAGTGGTATAATATGCCTCAAGGAGGGAAAACCTTTAAGGTTAAAATTCACGGATATGTTTATGGCAAAATTTATATATTGTTCTTAAATTAAAGTTCAAAATTCATAAAAGTAGGATATGATGAAATTTTTGCTGACAAATGTCATTAGATATATAATCCATTTACTGATAAATTTAAATTTTTCTATCTGGAATATTTCTATAATTTTTATTTTCTATCTTCAAATCAGTTTATTATATGTGATCATGATATAAAAGCTTTGATTGCAAAAAAAAAGGTTTCATAAAGGGGTAATTGATCTATATCATTAGTGATAGTATTATTGTATTGTGGGAATTATGATGAAGAAGGAGAAATGCTGATGGTGAGTGGAACTAGAGTTTCTATACCAAATATATAATAATGAGATTTTTATTGCATCTCATCTTCAGGTTTGCAAGCTTTTATATCATGATCACATATAATAAACTGATTTGAAGATAGAAAATAAAAATTATAGAAATATTCCAGATAGAAAAATTTAAATTTATCAGTAAATGGATTATATATTTAATGACATTTGTCAGCAATTAATTTTTTAAGTCCGGTTTCAGTCTGGTTCTTTTATTAAATTTTTTTCTTAAATATAAATACCATATATGATGTGAAAACTAGGGATCCAAAAGTGTGTTAACCATTATTATTTATCAACCTGAACCGTAAAAAAATTTGTCATCCAAATCTCTAAAAAGGTCCGTAAACCTGTTTCAACCTTTGACATCCTAACTGTTTTTAGATCATTATCAATCAATTTATGATTAGTCTATCATTATTAGTCTCGATTTTAAAATAAATATTTATATTATGTTATAAATTATAAACTAGATATATTTATATGTGCAATATCAATAAAATAAACCTTAGTTGCTTTAGGTATAGGATTTAGTGATAATTTTTTTTAAAAAAGCCCCTTTTTATATATGCAAAAAAGTCCAAATCAGTTTTTAAAGGTTCAAGCAGAACTTTATGAACCGAACCTAAATCGTTAAGTGAAATGATCTTTACCTTCATTGAAGAAAATATTTGATAAATTTTTAAAGAACCTATTCAATCAAGGTGTGCAGTCATACGTTTTACCAGATTATCAGATGCCCAAATTCTCAATAAGCTTTTAGAAATATGCAAGAAAGAAGATTTGAGTTACTCGGAAGATGGTTTGGAAGCCGTCATTTATACAGCTCAAGGTGATATGCGGCAGGTATTTAATTCATTTTTATGTTATGTAGCTTAAACACGGGCGTCCGGGTAGGAGTTTAGGGGCAAGATCCCCCAGCTTTTTTTGTGTCATATGACAGGTAATTTTTTAAAAGGTATATACATTCTGACCATTTATTGAAAATGAATTATATCAGAGACCTGCAGGCCCGGGTATACGGGCCTGGCCATATTTTAATTTTTTTAAATATGCTTGGGGTAGCCCAAAAATTTTTTTAAAATACCTCGGCCATATATTTTAAAACCAAATATTGTACATCGCTATTATTAGCTATAAAAATTAAATGCATAATATATTTTAAAAAAATCTTGGCCGGGTCTAAAATTTTTAATTTGGGCAGTGATATCTCTGAAGGTCTCTGATTTATATTGTACTAGAATATATTTTATGCATAATAATTAATTAATATTCAAAGCTGCATATTTATGGACCCCACTTTAAAATTGATGATTCTAGTATTAATAGTGAATGAAAAAAAATAGCAGAAAGAATATAATCGAGACACTCAATTTTTTTTAAAATATCCCCTCCCTTTTCTAGCGAAAGTTATTACAGGGAATTAAAAATGTTTTATATTAAATCTGTCAAATATTATTTAAAGGCACTTAATAATCTTCAATCTACGAATGCTGGTTTTGGACATATTAATTCTGAAAACGTATTCAAGGTAATTATTCTATCTTATAAAAAATTTTCAAATTATTTATTATTGAATGATAATTTTTTTTAAATTATCTGAAATACGAGTGTTGTAACTAGTTAATTTTTATATTCCTAAAAAGGTAACTTGATTAGTGTTGTTAAAAAGTCGAGTTCTTACGACTTGCGACTCGAGTCGTAGTCGTAAAAAACGGCGCCGACTCAAGCCGATCAAGGAGCCGCATGAGTCGGCTCACTTAGTCGGCTCGCTTAGTCGGCTCACTTAGTCGGCTCGCTTAGTCGGCTCACTTAGTCGGCTCGCTTAGTCGGCTCACTTAGTCGGCTCACTTAGTGGGCTCAGAGGGTAGCTTGAGTTTATTTTAAATTTAGAGCCAAAAATTATTTTTATGTTATTGAGAAATTTTAAATAATAATGTAGAATTTTATTTATTTATTTTTAGTAAAATAATTTATTTTATTTATATTTTATTTAATGCAAATAATATGTTTTGATTTGATTATAAAAAAATGGATTTATTTATTTGATTTTTTTTTAAATAAAAAAAAATTAATATTTTTGAGCTAAAAATTTTAAGCAAAAAATATTTTTGAAACATATTTTGCTGATTTTTTGAAGAAATTTTATTCTTTTGTTTTATCATAAAATTTTATTCTTTTTTTAATTATATCATAAATAAATAATCTTTTAGGTCAAATCTTCTATAGTTTTTTTATATTATTTTTATAAATATATCTATATTTTAAGTTTATTTTATTATAAGAGGTGGTTTTTCTAAATAATTTTTTTATTAATATATCTATATTTTAAGAATATATACTGGTTTTTCTTTTTCTAAATAATTTTTTTTATAAATATATCTATATTTTAAGTATATTAAAAGAGGTGGTTTTTCTAAATTATTTTTTTATTAATATTTATGTCAAACTTTTTTTTAATGCGACAATTGTCATATGCGTTATTTTTTAAGATTTTTGAAATTTTTGGACACAAAAGGGTTATAATATAATTTATATTGTAAAGATATTATATTATAAATTCAATGAAGATGTTCCCTGGAAAAATGATAATTATCATAATAGGTAGGTATATTTTTGAACATATAAGATTTTTTTGTGACGCTAATGGGCAAAAATATGTTTCTTTAACAGGTAAAATTTAATGTAGATGTACCCTAGATAAATGACAATTGTCATAATCATTGTTTTTAAATTTTTTTGACGTAAATTGGCTAAAATAAGCTTTGCTAACATGTTTAAATAAAATTTTAGTGAAGATGTAAGATAGATAAGTGACAATTGTCATAATCGTTGTTTTTAAAGTTTTTCGAATTTTTTTGACGTAAATGGGCTAAAATAAACATTGCTAACATGATTAAATAAAATTTTAGTGGAGATGTACCATAGATAAGTGACAATTGTCATAATCGTTGTTTTTAAAGTTTTTCGAATTTTTTTAACGTAAATGGGCTAAAATAAGCATTGCTAACATGTTTAAATAAAATTTAAGTGAAGATGTACCCTAGATAAGTGACAATTGTCATAATCGTTGTTTTTAAAGTTTTTCGAATTTTTTTGACGTAAATGGGCTAAAATAAGCATTGCTAACATGTTAAAATAAAATTTTAGTGAAGATGTAAGATAGATAAGTGACAATTGTCATAATCGTTGTTTTTAAAGTTTTTCGAATTTTTTTGACGTAAATGGGCTAAAATAAGCATTGCTAACATGTTTAAATAATATTTTAGTGGAGATGTACCCTAGATAAGTGACAATTGTCATAATCGTTGTTTTTAAAGTTTTTCGAATTTTTTTGACGTAAATGGGCTAAAATAAGCATTGCTAACATGTTTAAATAATATTTTAGTGGTAATGTACCCTAGATAAGTGACAATTGTCATAATCGTTGTTTTTAAAGTTTTTCGAATTTTTTTGACGTAAATGGGCTAAAATAAGCATTGCTAACATGTTAAAATAAAATTTAAGTGAAGATGTACGATAGATAAGTGACAATTGTCATAATCGTTGTTTTTAAAGTTTTTCGAATTTTTTTACGTAAATGGGCTAAAATAAGCTTTGCTAACATGTTTAAATAAAATTTTAGTGAAGATGTACCATAGATAAGTGACAATTGTCATAATCGTTGTTTTTAAAGTTTTCCGAATTTTTTTGACGTAAATGGGCTAAAATAAGCATTGCTAACATGTTTAAATAAAATTTTAGTGGAGATGTACCATAGATAAGTGACAATTGTCATAATCGTTGTAATTTATATACATTCTTAAATTAATTGTTTAATAGGTTAATATAAAATAAATTGATTTAAACAAACGAATATATAAAATATAAGTTTTATTTATATGAATAAAATTTTAATTCATGCTAAACATTTACTTTTTAATTAATTAAACAATTTGATATATAAATGCCATAATAACAACACGCGAGCTTAAATTAACATGATTAAAATCTATATTTTTATCGATTTGCATCAATAAAATTATAAAATAATGATTATGACAATTGTCACTTATCTAGGGTACATCTTCACTGAAGGTTTATTTAGATATGTTCGCAATACTTATTTTAGCCTATTTAAGTCAAAAAAATTAAAAAAACTTTAAAAATAATTATTATGACAATTGTTACTTTTCTAGGGTACATCTTCACTTAAATTATATTTAGACATGTTAGCAATACTTATTTTAGCCTATTTACGTCAAAAACTTTAAAAATAACTATTATGACAATTGTCACTTATCTATGGTACATCTCCACTAAAATTTTATTTAATCATGTTAGCAATGCTTATTTTAGCCCATTTACGTTAAAAAAATTCGAAAAACTTTAAAAACAACGATTATGACAATTGTCACTTATCTAGGGTACATCTTCACTTAATTTTATTTAAACATGTTAGCAATGCTTATTTTAACCCATTTACGTCAAAAAAATTCGAAAAACTTTAAAAACAACGATTATGACAATTGTCACTTATCTAGGGTACATTACCACTAAAATATTATTTAAACATGTTAGCAATGCTTATTTTAGCCCATTTACGTCAAAAAAATTCGAAAAACTTTAAAAACAACGATTATGACAATTGTCACTTATCTATGGTACATCTCCACTAAAATTTTATTTAATCATGTTAGCAATGCTTATTTTAGTCCATTTACGTCAAAAAAATTTGAAAAACTTTAAAAACAACGATTATGACAATTGTCACTTATCTAGGGTACATTACCACTAAAATATTATTTAAACATGTTAGCAATGCTTATTTTAGCCCATTTACGTCAAAAAAATTCGAAAAGCTTTAAAAGAAACTATTATGACAATTGTCACTTATCTATCGTACATCTTCACTAAAATTTTATTTAAACATGTTAGCAAAGCTTATTTTAGCCCATTTACGTCAAAAAAATTCGAAAAACTTTAAAAACAACGATTATGACAATTGTCACTTATCTATCGTACATCTTCACTAAAATTTTATTTAAACATGTTAGCAATGCTTATTTTAGCCCATTTACGTCAAAAAAATTCGAAAAACTTTAAAAACAACGATTATGACAATTGTCACTTATCTATCGTACATCTTCATTAAAATTTTATTTAAACATGTTAGCAATGCTTATTTAAGCCCATTTACGTCAAAAAAATTCGAAAAACTTTAAAAACAACGATTATGACAATTGTCACTTATCTATGGTACATCTCCACTAAAATTTTATTTAAACATGTTAGCAATGCTTATTTTAGCCCATTTACGTCAAAAAAATTCGAAAAACTTTAAAAACAACGATTATGACAATTGTCATTTATCTATGGTACATCTCCACTAAAATTTTATTTAATCATGTTAGCAATGCTTATTTTAGTCCATTTACGTCAAAAAAATTCGAAAAACTTTAAAAACAACGATTATGACAATTGTCACTTATCTATGGTACATCTCCACTAAAATTTTATTTAATCATGTTAGCAATGCTTATTTTAGCCCATTTACGTCAAAAAAATTCGAAAAACTTTAAAAACAACGATTATGACAATTGTCACTTATCTATCTTACATCTTCACTAAAATTTTATTTAAACATGTTAGCAAAGCTTATTTTAGCCAATTTACGTCAAAAAAATTCGAAAAACTTTAAAAATAACTATTATGACAATTGTCTTTTATCTAGGGTACATCTACATTAAATTTTACCTGTTAAAGAAACATATTTTTACCCATTAGCGTCACAAAAAAATCTTATATGTTCAAAAATACCTACCTATTATGATAATTATCATTTTTCCAGGGAACATCTTCATTGAATTTATAATATAATATCTTTACAATATAAATTATATTATAACCCTTTTGTGTCCAAAAATTTCAAAAATCTTAAAAAATAACGCATATGACAATTGTCGCATTAAAAAAAGTTTGACATAAATATTAATAAAAAAATAATTTAGAAAAACCACCTCTTTTAATATACTTAAAATATAGATATATTTATAAAAAAAATTATTTAGAAAAAGAAAAACCAGTATATATTCTTAAAATATAGATATATTAATAAAAAAATTATTTAGAAAAACCACCTCTTATAATAAAATAAACTTAAAATATAGATATATTTATAAAAATAATATAAAAAAACTATAGAAGATTTGACCTAAAAGATTATTTATTTATGATAAAATTAACAAAAGTATTTCTTAAAAAAGTTAAAAATTTATTAAAAAAATCAACAAAATATGTTTAAATATTTTTGTTCAAAAATTATTTTTTGCTTAAAATTTTTAGCTCGAAAATATGAATTTTTTTTTATTTAAAAAAAATCAAATAAATAAATCCATTTTTATTATAAGATCAAAACATATTTGAAATAAAATTTAAAAAAATTTTTTGTTTGCTAATAATAAAATATTAACATTAAATATAAATAAAATAAATTATTTCACTAAAAATAAATAAATAAAATTCTACATTATTATTTAAAATATCTAATAACATAAAAATAAATTTTGACCCTAAATTTAAATTAAACTCAAGCTAACCTCTGAGTCCACTAAGTGAGCCGACTAAGCGAGCCGACTAAGTGAGCCGACTAAATGAGTCGACTAATGCGGCTCATTTAGTCGACTCGAGTCTGAGCCGTTTTATCGACTAGAAACTAGGCTCGAATCGTAGCTAAGTCGACTCGGCTTAGCCGTTTAACAACACTAAACTTGATACTTCTGGAATAATTTTTATAACAAATCATTTTTTTAAATTAAATTTTAAAAATTTACGATTTACAAATTAATCAGGGGTTTAAAAAAAATCTATCATTTATTTTTTTCTAAAAAATGGCTGAGCATTCCAATTATTAACATCAATCTAATGCACAATTACACTAATATAAAAGTTATTATTTATATAAAATATTTTTCGAATCTTGGCCAAGGTATTTTTACATTTAGGTTCGTTGTTTTGGTAATACTTGTAATTTCTTAATCATTTGAATGCCAGTCTCATCAAATGACGAGTCAAGCAGAATTCATATTATAGTCATTAAATATAAAAATACAGAAATTTAATCATGATTTATTGGTCTGATCAATTTTCATTATTAATTATGAAAAAAGGTGCACATACAGAATCAGACATTTAATCAAAATTATAAATAAATTTAATATATTATAACAATAAAATTAATTATTTGATATATTCATTGATACATATAAATATTTTAAAAGATAATTAGTTACTTTTGGTAAAAATATAATTAGCAATTACTGTTAGTGGATTATTTTGCAAAAATGAAATGTAACAACACTTAGAAAATCCCTACTTAGAAATATCAGTCATTAAATATTTATTTTTAAAAATCTGTAAGGTTTGTGATGAACCTCACCCAATTCAAATTAAAGCAATGCTGGACCATTGCATCAAAGGAGAATACAAGCCCGCTTATACTATAATGGAAAATTTTTGGCATTCTGGATTTTCGCCTGAAGATATAATAGGCAGTGTTTTTAAAGTCTGCAAAACATTAACAAATGCGCCTTCTGAGATGTGTAAACTTCAATTTATCAAGGTTAATTATTTGAAATTTTATTATAATTATTTAACACTTTATTTAAAGTTGAAATTCTTATAATATTTAACTTTTTTTAGGAAATTGGGTATACGCACATGAGAATATGTGAAGGAGTTAATTCCCTATTGCAATTATCTTCATTAATTTCAAAATTATGTCATTTATCGCAAAACCAATCTATTACATCATAGACAGAATTACGAATTAGAGTAGATATAATGAATAAATTTAAAATTGTTAATATAAACACCAAATTATTTTAGTTTATATAATATAATCATTTAATCATACAAATTAAATCAATATATTTTGGAAATATAATTATCCAATAAATAAAAAAAGGTAATCAGTAAAATGGAATATAATGAAGATCGACATATACCTTTAATATAAATCAAAATATTGACGAAAAAAATAGGTAAAGGAATACATAAATCATGAGGCTTGGTAATTCATTAAATGCCTATATTCAAGTTGATTTTTATCTTGTTTTAGGCTCATCGTTAATTTATGAAGTACCGGTTGAGAATAGGGCTGTTAGTCCGCTAGCTGTTAAATAAATAAAAATGAATAATCATATTATAATGATAATAATCGCTTCTAACTCTTATATCAAAAATTATTTGTAGCAAGCAGGGATGCTCATTTTATTTATCTTGTTCTTTTTAACATGTCTTCGATCCTTAAAGTGGGTCGAGCATGGAAGGTCTCGTTAGAATGAATTAAATCGTTTTGCATTGCTAAAAATCTATTGTCGGAAAATTAGTTCATGCTTACTATTTTTAAAACAAAAGAGCAAAATACAATACAAATTTAATATATAACAAAATATTATTTCTTTAACCCTCTTACCAATGATCATTGACAAGGCGTAATTGATTGGCGGGTGGGTAGAGGCCAATAGAAGGCAGGAGCAAACTAAGAAACACAAGAGAAAGAGGGAATTGTTGTAAAATATGGAATAAGTCGTAGCTTCATAATCGGAAACCTCGTTTTTTTTCCATAATATTCGCTCGTCTCTGTCTTTTCTTGATATCATTTTCTTGGTGTTTATAGCGTTGGCTAGGCCCATGTTATTTGGAGAAACATCGTCTGTATTAATTATATACAATAATAAATAAGATAGCGTATAACCGAGAGACATTTTTTCGGAAATAAAGTGAATTGATAAGTAACTTACTATTTTTAACTAGTTCTGAAATTTGTTTCCCTAACGCTTATCGGTTATACAAACATATGTTTTGCCTCAGGAGTATGAATTTATAACTATATTTTTAATATTTCACGCCAATGTTTGTATCGGCGGCGATCCAGCGGCGCGCTGAATTTTTCAATACCTTAGAAAACTATTGGTTTTTTTCATAATTTTTTTAAAAAAATTCATGATAAAGTTTTTCTAATACCAATATGATACATTCAATTAAATTCATAAAATTATAGTTTAATGTATTAATATTATTTTATTTAAATGGGAAGGATATAGAGAGATCTTCTTGAGTTTAATGTTAGCCATTGGGTTATTCAATGTCAAATGAGCAAAAAAAATGAGATTTTCGGAAGACCCCCTTCAATTTTTTAAAATTTGGTAAGCAAAGAGGGGTTAATATTACTAAGAAATAGCCAACATTTTAGCCTCCTAACATTCATATTCTTAGAAATATCAGGGTTCAAAGTGGCAAAAATGACCTATTTTTACCATTATCTGCAGTCATTCAATTAAATATATCTTAAAAACTACATAATTGTAAATAATAAAACTAGGATCAAGATTAATTACAAAGATTATACTTATAAATTAAAAAAAATGTTTTTTGATTTTTCCAATTTCCGGCTATTTTAAAAAATTGAATTATTTTAAAAGATAAAGTAACTAAAAATTTAATTTTTTTGTTATTCTGCAACAGAATTCAAAATATCTAACGAGTCACGATAAGTTAGTATTGTTAAACGGCTTGTTTTACCCAATTTTTAAAAACCGATAACTCAAGATTTTAGCCAAAAGTAAATTATCCAAGTTTGGAGATTTTACCCACAGTTTTCAGCAGAAAAGTTTGGACATCTATTGTCTAAATTAATGGCTTAGGTAATAATATTTTGGCTAAAATCTTGACAGCTGTTTTAAAAATCGGCTAAATCGAGCCGTTTCACTACATTCTGTCGTAAATTTTGCCCATATTTAAATGAGATAATTAACTTTTTAAGAATTAAAAAAATATATATATACTTAATAATTCGTAGTTAGTTTACTTTTAAAATATTAATTTTTTATGATAAATCCAAAGAGAGATGGTAAATGGTTATCGTATAATTTTTTATTTTAAGTAATGGATTTGTGGATCGGGATAGCCCTAATTGATGCATTTTATTTTTCCAATTGTTCTCTAATGGGTTCAGGTTTTATGTAATTTAATCGTGAAATCGAGTTTAACCATGTTTGATGTTTAAATCCCTGGATTGCATCATTTTTTAATAAAGTATTAGTAATATTTAAAAAAACTTCCATATATAACCTAAATTATTGGTGACGGCGACAGATGAATTATCTTTAGCCGCAGAACTACCAAAAGTGAGAGAACTAGTAACTTCTCTGGTTACGGCTTCTTCTCTTTTCTGAGCGAACTTGTGCTTAAGGACAAACTTAACGTTTTTATAGGCATAAGCCATCAGGAAGGTTGCCGGAAGAGTCAAAATAACGAAAAGCATCATTAGCAATGGCATGGTTGGTTCGACAGGATATATTCTCCAAAAAATCCAAGCGGGAATGGCGGTTATGATCATGCCATTACCTAAAATTTACATTATAATAAATTGATGGAGTAAATAAAAATAAACTTTTATAAGGACTATAGATTTTTTTTTAAATAATAAATTTTTTGTCAAAAATGAGGGTTGTGGAAATAAAATTAATTTGATTCTTATGGCGATTTTTTTTAATTATCATTGATAAAATATTGTTAAGCGACTCGATCTGGGCCAATTTTTAAAAAAGGCTAAAATATTGTAGCCTGAAAAAGATTGCCTAATTCTCGATATTTCGCTAATAGATGTCGAAACTTCTGTGCCATCTATGAGCAAAACCTTAAGGCTTACGTGTAATATTTTTCTGGATGTTAGTCCTTTTTACGGCTCAAATTGAGCTGTTAACATATGTATATCCAATGACATTGAGTATTAGAAATATAAAATAATTGAACGCCATTTTTATTACTCCTAATAAAATAAATGTAATATTTGCGATAGGGGTGTACCGATACCACTTTTTGGAGGCCGATCCGATCCGATATTCCAGACATTAAATTGATATCGGCCGATAACCGATCCGATATCATATCTAATTTTGTATTCTGTAAAGATACCGGTTTTAATTTTTAATTTACTTTTTATTAGTACAACATCTATAATTTTACTATATCATAACATATGTCATTTAAATATATTATAATGATCAGTTATAGTTTATATTCAATTCAATTGCTATTATTTATATAATAAGTAATAACATTAATCTATTTACATAATTAGTAATAAACAAATATATTATGAAATTTGAAATTAATATATCGAAGATTTCTTTTTAGAAATACCAAAATTTCCAATTTATCAGAGATCGGTCTGCGGTGAACTGTTAATATCACTAGCATCACTAAAAACAGATTCTGAAGAGATTAATGAACACTTTTTTAAAGAATGCGAAAAAAAATAACTATTTTGCAGAATGTTTATTAACTAATTATTACTATTAAAAAATTAAACATAAAAATATATTTCGATTTTATTTATAAAAATAAATGGTTTTTTAGATACAACTTTTTTTAAATTTTGTTAAAAGCGCCATTTTATATCGGATCGGAAAATTTTATAATATTTGCCGATAACTGATATTGTAAAATGGGCGAAATATCGGCCCGATCCGATATAAAATATCGGTACATCCTAATTTGCGATAATATTTAACATAATTTTTCGTTTAAAAAAAAATTATTTATAAAAGAGAAGAATAAAAAGATAGGATCGATTCCTATACTTTATTATTAGTATCAAGAGTAACAAATGACTCAATTAATCCAGTTTTTAATGTATTGATTTTAAGAGTCTAGAGTTATAGAATTTCATGTGATTGAGTAGTATTATCATTAAAATATTTATAAGCTGACAATCGTTAATATATTGTTTTAGTATTTAAAATATAAGTAACCATTCAATTTATCTATGTGGAAGAGGAAAAAAAATAAAGCAGATTGTTTTCCATAAAATTTATTTGTTCATTCAAATTTACATTTATATATCAAAGTATTTTCATTGTTTTCATATGGTATGCCATTTTTTAAATTAATGGTATATTATCCTTTTTGTTGTTAATTGATTTTGAAATATTCATATCAAAATGATTGGCTTAAAAAAAGAATTCGATCTACATGGCATGGAATACACTTGTTCGTTATTAATTTTTATATTGGATTTTCGCTCCTGCCCGCGATAATTTTTTGTATGACTCCCCATCTTGTATAAAACCTTTATAAAGGAAAAAATCATACACCAATCTTTAAAAAATAAATTGCGCCATTGGCCAAAAGGTTAAAATTAACTTATAATTATAAAAAAAAAAATTTTACAATTGCAAACCAAACTGGCAAAGCTTATTTTATGATGGAATGGGATTCGAAAAGTCTAAAAAAACATAACGAGGACTGCAAAACCCGACTGTTGGGTTAGATGAGTTACTATAATTTTTATTTCGAGCTGGGTTTCTTAGGGTTGGGTTGCAAATATTTTAATTTAATCAGTGATATCAACCATGGTTTGAATAAACTATTTCTAGATTATTTCTTAAAACGTGCTATAGAAATAAATAAATTTTAGGGCAAATTTTTTATATTTTGATTTTACGGGTCAGGTTAAATACAGAATATTGAATTAATAATGCTCGGGTTGGATTCAGGATTCTTTTTCAAAAAATTTTCCAGGATGGGTCAGAATAATACTTATTTTCCTAAGGTGCTGGGTCAAAAAAATCTATCCTTTGCAGGTTTCTAATTATTATATTCTGTCAAAAACAAGCTATTTTTATAATTCAAAATAATATTCATTTATATGCAATAAAATATAACAATACCATAAAAGAGAGCCGATGATTTTGTGCTGACATTGCGACTAAAATCTTGCAATAATATTTCCTCTTCTTTAGTCAATTTTTGGTGTTTTTGATGAGATGAATTACCGATGTTAGAGGAGGTTGTCAAATTAGAATTTGATGAAGATGCAACTTCTTTAAAAGATTTCGTTGAGCTCATGGTGTTAGAATTCGAATTTTTCCCTTGTTTGGTGAGTGTCAAAGTTTTGGAATTGCTTGACATGTGGCTAGAAAACAGAAAAATATAATTTATATACAAGACTATAATTTTTTTGGTCATAAATGCGACGTATTTTAATAATTAAAAAATAAAAATAAGTGTTGGCCACTATTTACAATATATATAGAGCAGTAATAAATGTTCAACTAATTAAAAATTGGCCAATCAATTTTTATTAAAAAGTTATGTTAATTAAATTTAAAAAAAGGAGATCCTCATTTTTTATACATATAATTAATTTTTTAAATTCCAATATTGGTTCGATGCAGATTTCTAGACTGCTGCTAAAGATTATTTAATTAAGTCTAGATTTCCATCCCTTTTTATAATTAAAACAAGTTCTTAAAATTAAATTAATGATTATATTTAATAATAAAATCATATAAATTAATAATTATGTTTCATCTAATAATAGCTTATTTAAATTTTATTAATTTATTATAATCAAAATAATTGGAATAAGAAAATATTCGGGATGTACCGATATCTTTTATCAGATCTGATAGGGCATTTCATATTTTAATAATATTGGTTATCGGTTGATTTTTAATATTATAAAAAAAAAATGTTATAAAATTTAAACAAAAAAGTTTAAAAACTTTATTTTTATCAATAAAATCGATACAATTTTTATGTTTATTTTTTTGTTAATGGATAATTAATTAATAAATATTCTGCCATTTTAATTTTTTTGGCGCAATTTATATAAATAAGTGATTTATTAGTTTTAATTAATTAACTTGCTAAAAATTTTAAATATCTATAAAATAATTTTTATGTGCTGTCCATTTATATTAAATACATTCCAACATAATTAATATTACTGCCTATTTTTTATTTAAAGTTCTGAATAATTTGTTAAATTAATATAATTGTAGTTTTATTAGATATGATATAAAGAACCCTGTATTTCAACATAATTCTTTTAATTTATAAAGGCATAAAATTATTAATTGGTTGGTAAATAAAAAAAATTGATAAGTAAGTTATAAATTTGGGGTGTTGATTTATTTAAAAAATTTGGCCTATTTTTTTTCAAATTGAAATAACCAGGAAAAAAATTTAAAAAAAGCAAAATATATTATCTCAGAATATTTTTGAGCAATTGATTTTTATTAAAATTTTAAATATTGGGTCAGGTTTGAGCATTAAAACAAATAAAAATTCTGGGTCAAAAAACAATGGAATCTGCAAGGATATACTATATGAAATGGCGACCTGTAAATATTCATGAATACAATTTCAGGGAGCCTTTTAGCAGGGTATTTTTAACCTTTTGTTAGTATGTTCATTTTTTCCTAAAAATAGGAACTAAGGTCTGATGTGATAGCTAGTTAGTAAAAAATATATATTAATGTTTTTGCTTGATTAAAAATAAACTAGGTGACAGATTAATTTGTTAACAAATTTAATTTGACAACTCTTAGCCACTTATTGATTATCTTTTGACCCTAGTTAAAGCTAACATCCTTGATCATAAAGTTCCTAAAGGTTTTGCTCTAATTTATGACATTTGCAAGAAAGTAAGCAGTATAATGAGAAATCCCTTGTAATTGTATCACTTAAACCAGATGCTTCAAATTGAAATTCTCAAATCTGATATGTTCAAATCTACTCCTTATTTCTCCATTTACTTATTATTCATATATACATATAGATATTTTTGGTATACTTTATATATTTTTGTATACATTTATCATTAATTTTTTTTATAAAATAATAATTTATTTTAGTCATGATAATGGATGTCACAGGGCAGCATATAGCAATTTATTAATAACCATTATTTTAAATTATAAAAAAACCCTACCCATTACCATATCTTAATCTTTCCAAGAGGAGTTTAAAAATTGAGTAAGGGTCTCACATAATTTGTCTGGTATAACATAAAAATTTGCTATTTCTAGCACAAAATTAAAACGTTTTACAAAATATATATATTTATTCAAATATAAAAATTTGTCAATTACGTGATATGTGATATATAGCGCTTATGCCCTCTAGTGTTGAAATTCAACAGAGCTACGCTAGGTTTTCCTCATTTCCATCTTATTGGAACTAATTTAATTAGGGTATAAAAGTTAAAATATGAGGAGCCCTCCACACGTTTGTGGGCAAGCCGCACGTTTGTAGGCGCAACATTTCGAAAAACATTACTTAAACCTCTATAGGCTTATTTAAAAGGGAGTGGGACAAAATAAGAGCCTATACCCTAGAACTTCAGTGAAAGTTAATTACATTATGGTGGGTTGAGGACAATTTTAAATTAAAAATCTTTACTATATTAGAACAATTTTTAGTAAGGAAATGCAAAAGAATACTTAGAAGAGGATTTGAATGTTTGTTGATATTGGAAGGAAATATAAGATAGGGATTATTAGATAATGATAGTGAACATTGAATTCTGAGATGTATTTTTATTCTTATTAGAGGTAACTTTTCTTGATGCGAAACAGCTTTTTAATTGTTATTTAGTTTAATGAATTGTTTCATCACGTTTAAGTACATTATATCTTTTATTGTTTTATAATACCATAATGTTTTGTATTTTGTGTATTGTTTTCCATTGTATGAGTACAGCCATGTTATGGCATCATGGACTAAGTTATTATCTGAATTTCTTATTATGTGACCTAAGAACTGAATCCGGCGTTTTTTAAGAGTAATATTTATTGGTGTGTGAGTTGACTTCCTCCAAAGATTTGAGTTTGAGATAACTCTTGGATAGAAAATACCGTGTATAGTGCGAAGACAATTATTTATAAAAGATTGAAGACGCCTTATCTCTGTTTTATTTGCCTCCCAGATATCCCCACCATATAATACAATTGGAACTATCAACGAGTTGAATATCCTCAATCTAGTAAATACTGAGATTTCTCTAGCTCCATATTTTCCTATATCTATAGAACGCACCTCTAGCTTTTTGTATTCTCATCTTCATCTCATCTTTACAACTTCCTTTATTATCTAAGATTACACCAAGTATTTTATTTTCTCTACGATAGCTTTAAAAGGAAATCCTCAATTGTATTAAATAATGGCAAAGTAATAATTGACCAAGATGAACAAATGGCTTTGTGGCTTGATTATTATATTACGGTTTTTGACGGGCGCAAAGTAACTATACCAACTAGTTTAAATATAAATATAGCTTCACCCCAGTCTGGGTTCTCGGTAAATGAAATAATGAATGTAATAAAAAAATTACGTAACAACAAAGCTCCAGGGCTCGACAACATAACTGCTGAGTATCTAAAGATAGCACCTAGAACGACATCTTCCTTCCTTCTGGCCCTCTTCAATAAAATATGGGAAAGTGGAAGTACCCCAACAGAATGGAACAAGTCCTTTTTATGTAATTTCCCCAAAACTGCAAATCCCCAAACATTTACTGATTATCGTGCGTGCGCTCTAACATCTTGCGTGTCCAAAATATTTATGGTACTTATAAAAAATAAAATTGCTCAATCGACGCCTAATCTTTTTCCTAAACATATTTGTGCTTATAGGCCAAATAAAAATATACTGGAACCTATATTATCTCTGAAAATAATAATGCAGAAGTGTCATAAATACAAGATACCCTCATTCTACACATTCATTGATTTTAGTAGAGCATTTGACAACGTTAACCATGTAGCTCTTTGGGAAACGCTAGCAGAATGCGGTATTGAAACCCAAATAATTCGAATCTTAAAAAATCACTATTCAAATTTATTTGCTAGTTTCAAAATAAATGATAAAATCTCTCCCTTCTTCAGGATAAAAAAAGGTGTAAAACAAGGTTGCACCCTCTCACCTCTCCTTTTTAACATAATAATCAATAAAATAATAAAAGATGTACTGGGAGCTGCTGATCTAGTTGATATAGGATCAAACGAGAAGATTTTTTTTGTAAATAGGATAATATCCTATGCGGATGATATTGTAGTAATCTCGAAAAGTATTGAAGAAACCAAGAATCTACTTTATCTAATTGAGACTGTGAACTATAGAGTTGGACTTAGGATCAACTTTAACAAAACTGTTATTCTTCCCTCCCCAAACGCGCCTTCAATTCAAAATTTTACAGTTGGAGAGAATACAGTAAAAATCGTAGAGAAAATAAAATACTTAGGTGTAATCTTAGATAATAAAGGAAGTTGTAAAGATGAGATGAAGATGAGAATACAAAAAGCTAGAGGTGCGTTCTATAGATATAGGAAAATATGGAAAGCTAGAGAAATCTCAGTATTTACTAGATTGAGGATATTCAACTCGTTGATAGTTCCAATTGTATTATATAGTAAGGATATCTGGGAGGCTAATAAAACAGAGATAAGGCGTCTTCAATCTTTTATAAATAATTGTCTTCGCACTATACACGGTATTTTCTATCCAAGAGTTATCTCAAACTCAAATCTTTGGAGAAAGTCAACTCACACACCAATAAATATAACTCATAAAAACGCTGGATTCAGTTCTTAGGTCACATAATAAGAAATTCAGATAATAACTTAGTCCATGATGCCATAACATGGCTGTACTCATACAATGGAAAACAATACACAAAATACAAAACATTATGGTATTATAAAACAATAAAAGATATAATGGACTTAAACGTGAACATGAAACAATATATTAAACTAAATAACAATAAGATCCATTAAGAAGCTGTTTCGCATCAAGAAAAGTTACCTCTAATAAGAATAAAAATACATCTCAGAATTCAATGTTCACTATCATTATCTAATAATCCGTATCTTATATTTCCTATCGTAATAAATTTCAAAAATTTAAACTCATTATTATCAAATATTTCCAATATCAACAAACATTCAAATCCTCTTGTAAGTATTCTTTTGCATTTCCTTACTAAAAATTGTTCTAATATAGTAAAGATTTTGAATTTAAAATTGTCCTCAACCCACCTTAATGATAATTAACTTTCACTGAAGTTCTAGGGTATAGGCTCTTTTTTTGTCCCACTCCCTTTTAAATAAGCCTATAGAGGTTTAAGTAATGTTTTTCGAAATGTTGCGCCTACAAGTACGTGCGGCTTGCCCACAAATGTGTGGAGGGCTCCTCATATTTTGACTTTTATACCCTAATTAAATTAGTTCCAATAAGATGGAAAACCTAGCGTAGCTCTGTTGCATTTCAACACTAATCAAATAATAATATCTACAATTTCTATATATTTTTTTTAAATAAAGAAAATATCATAAAATATTTTTTCCATTGTAAATCTCTGCAATCCAAATTAACATATAAAAGTAGTTATGTAATTGCTCCATAGCTTGAAAATGCCTAAACCTAATATCATCTCAGCTTCAAGGATTTTTTTTTGATATCATAGCTCACCTATTAGGGAAACATAAATAAAATTGAGATTCAATGTTTCCGATTTTCTCTTCCTGCAGAATGAGCAAAACTTTCTAATTTTAACCTCTACCCCCATTATACATAATAGAAATATGGATATTGTATTATTTGATGAATAATTACAAATTTTAATTGTAAAAAAAATAATGGATCAACATTATCTATTAAAATATATCAATCATTGAGAATTTTATTAACAATACCAATTTTGGTTGGCAGATATCTTTTCAATAATTAAATAAATAAGACTATTTAAGGTTGATTATAACACAGGAAAGGCTTAATAGTTTATTGATTGTTTAATAGGGAATGAAATAATGAATTATAAATCTTCAAAACCTAACCAGTCCTCCACCCAGCCCAGAAGGCTTTATTCAGGCCTATTTTAAAAAAAAATTGGGCCAGGTTGGTTTGAGCTTAATATTTTTTTAAAAATAATTGGACAAGGGTGAACAATTTTTAATTTTATAATAAGTAAATTAGAAAATTATATCATATTAATCTAAATTATCAAAAAATATATAAGACGTTAAATTTACTGAAAAAATATGGATACGATCATTTTAAAAAACCAATATAATAATTTAAAATGCTATTAAAACTTAAATATAACTAGTTTATAATAAATAAGAAAAGAGATGAATGTCATGTTATGAAAAAACGTTTGACTTACATATTGATCATAAAAAACGTGTAAACATAATATAATACGTACTTTTAAAAAGGATTGATATTTTTGTATAAAACGAGTGCTAAACTACGCATAGAGCTATGCATCGAAACGCTTTGATCAAATTTATGATAAATTTAGAGAATTAAAGTGGCATCGAATCATTCACACCATAACGTTTTATAATTTGAAATCCAATGTTTTTAAAAAGTACTTTACATAGCATGGTCATAATAAATATACATGTTGATAATATTTTATATAATTAAGTCGTTTTTTTTAATAGCTCCCCTTAATTTGCATTCCAAAAATATGTAGAAGTTCTTATCTTAATTTGATCGAAAAGTAAAAAGATTAATCGAAAAGGTGCAAATTACATTGTGTCAAATGTTATATAAAACACATTTAAATATGATAAAATAAATTTAGATATAATATGTAATATTATAAATAACGGCAAATGTGCTATAATTATTCTACACTTATAAAGGCTAATATGAAGGTCTACTGATAACTTTGTCATTTTACTAATAACTAAGTCTTTAGGGGCATTCTAACTTTCTAACACTTTAAACATGGGCATTATGTAAAAGATTCCTGAATGTTTAATTCAGTCCATTTTTATATATCCAAAACCATATACAAATCAAAGGATTTACTTTTCAAAATTAGCCCTCGTAACCAGTAATTTTTGAAGAATCGGCAAGGACTAGGGCAACGGGCGTGGTGGGGGGGGGGGTGATGTAATATCGTCAATAAAATTAGAGGTTATATGGGAGACGGAAGAGGCCAATATTTATATTGAAAATTTATAATTCTATACAAATTCTTAAAATCAATAGTACTAATAAGAAATATTTCAATTAAATAACTAGTTTTCATATATTTTTCTGAGCGTTTCATTTTTTAATCTGAGCATTTCAGTTTTATGCCAAAGCAATTAGTATTTTTCTGGGCAATAGGGTTTCTTATCTGAGCATCAAGAACTAATTCTGAGCATTCAGTATCTTTGAGCATATAAATTTTTTTCTAAGAATTTCAGTTTGTCTGATCAAATTGGAGCTTTATAAATTTATATGATACTAATTCTTATTACTTAAACTCCAAACCAAATTAATCGAACATGAATTTTTTATATTTTTAGAAAATAATAAATTTTTAAGTATAAATTTTAATATGCGAAATATTTTAACATGAGATATATTTTTGTGAAGATACCTAAATTATCTATTATAATTACAAATCGGAAATTTTTTTTAAAATAATCATCATTAAACTTATGTGCCTCTTGACAAGTTTTAGATCTATTATGTCTGTAATTATATTTTCATATTGACTTAAAATTTATCACTTTCCGCTATCCTTTCAAATGAGTAAACTCATGTTTATACCAAACGTTAGCAATATTTTGATAGTTCCTTTAAAATTCACGAAGAGAATACCATTATAATTAAAGAGGTGTAATTAATAATGTGAAAATATCACCGCCGAAGTCCATTTTTATTAGGGGGGGGGGGTAGATATAGGATTTTGAGGTGGACTTGTATCCAGTAAATATCCTTTCATGTAGAGGCTGGATAAATCACAAATCAGTTAAATTACATGGAGCAGTTATTATATATAATATATGAGATAAAAAAAATAAAATTGCTCATGTCAGATTTAGATAATCATATTCTTGATCATTTTATAATGCAGGAAATTTAATTCAAGAACTATTAAACATAAGCCATTATTTAGGAGTAAAAATATAAGATTTACAAAACAATGACTTATTTAATTTAAAATAATGATTGTGATAAATAATATAAAAATGACTAATTTATATTATAAAAATAAAATATTCAAAATTTTTGCATTCGAGTATATATAACCTTTATTCATAAAGATTAATTTTTTTTATTAAATATATAAGAACCAATCATATTAACAAAATGACAATTTCGAACAAATATAATAAAATATGGAAAATACAAAATAAATTAGATCAAATATAATATTGCTAAATCATATTATAGCAATATGAACCAGTACATATATTCAAAAAAAGAAAAAAAAATCCCCCTAGTCAGCGTCTACATGACAGGATTATCACTGGATGCAAACCTCCTTCAAAAACCTTTGCCTACCCCCCTAAAAATTCCCGCCGCCTTCGGCGGCGATGTCTCTTTATCATTATTTTCACCTATTTATTTATTGATACTCTTTTCAAATAATTTATAAAGAGATAACTTAAATTAATCTATCTCTACTACCAACTATCGATATTTTTGATATAAAGAATTTATTTTTTAGATAATAAAGAATTTATTTTTTAGATAATAAAGAATTTATTTTTTAGATAATAAAGAATTTATTTTTTAGATAATAAAGAATTTATTTTTAGATAATAAATTTAATTAAAACCTCCAGTATTTACAATGAATTAATTATTATGGCATTATGAGCTTGCTGAAATATCTAAACCTTTTAAATTATATTTAAAAGGATAGTTTATTTGGAAAACAATGTGTGTGATTGTTTGCAATATATAGATTTGGTCGATGAATTGTATTATAATAATACTATAATAAAAGTATTAATTTTTACAGCAATAAATTTTGTCTTATTTCATCTCAAAATTTAATAGATAAACCCCCAAAAAAATTTATCCTACCCCCATTAGCAACTTACACCCTACCCCCTCAAAAAAATAGGATGCAAACTGTTCCTACCCCTTCCGCTCATGTAGACGCTGCCCCTAATCATCAGGAGAGATCAAATTAATAAAACAAATATAATTAACCAAAATGACTATTGCCATCCTTTGCTTTAAATAAAAGCCTTTATGAGGCTCCTCAAAATTTTTCCTAATTTGGCGGCCGATATTTTTTAATATTTTTTTTAGCCAAATCCCTATTTGTTGGTAAAGTGGAGTAAATGATTGGTACGAATATGTAATTAGAAGAATCAGCGCTGTATTTGGCGATCTTAAAATTTCACTCAATTGGGAAAGAGATCAGAATGATCTAATGAGGTAGGAAAACCAGCTGAACTAAGTGCAAGTATGATTCGGTTGCATCTTGAGTGTCGGGTTAGTCAACTGGGATTACGGTTGCAATGGAACATGTGGTAGATCCGAACCTTCCGTTTTACATAAATCATATTTGACAGATCCGTCCTAACTGTTTTCAGAAAGGGATCGAGGACTAACAGATGTTGATTAATTAATCTACGTGCCTAGAGATGGCTAGCGATGAACGCACAAAATGAAATCAAGTGGGGATCTTAAACTAAGACCTCCATGCTTAGAAGGAAGTGTAGTGTTGTTAAACGGCTCATTTTGAGCCGATTTTTACAAACGGCTAACTCAATATTTAACCAGAAAAATATTGCCTAAGCCTCGAGATTTCGATAATAGATGTCCAAACCTTTGTTCCTTCTACAAACAAAATCTTCAGAGCTTGCTAAATGAAATATTGAGTTAGCCGTTTTTAACAAATATATTTGATTGTTTAAATGACCATGAAAAGAGCCTTTGGGTTTTGTGACCATAAATAGTAACTTTTGGTTTTGTAAGGGTCTTTTTTTAAAAAAAAATTAGTTGTAATCGACTATGAGGTACATGCTCTTGCCTTAAAGGATGGGCATGTCACAGGTTTTAAAAATACTTAATATTTTGCATAAAAATTTATCAAAAATATGTCAATAAAAATTAGTGTAGCAATTTGAATGGAACAAGGAATATATATTATTTTTCGAAAAAATTTGTTTTTTCGCTACAATTTGGAAATAATTCTCACTCACTGCTAAAAATGCTTGTTGGGTCTAACCAAAAATTTTTCTAATTTTTTATTTAATTTATATTGTATAAATATATTAAATTTATTTGTTATGTCTTTAGTTTTTCCAATCTCCCTACAGTAGAAATCGCTTTACAGAGAGAAATCATAATATTCGGCGAACTTAAGCTTTTCAAAGATTTAGACTTTGGGACATTTTTTAATAGGAAGAATTTTATAAAAGATAGTATGTGAATTTGATCAAGATTAATTCAAGATTATAAGAAGGGGATAAATTTATCTTCCGATTTTGGAAGTTATAGGCAGCGTCTACATGAGCGGGAGGGGTAGGTTTGCATCTATTTTTTTTGAGGAGAGTAGGGGGCAGGCGGCTTTAAAGGGGTAGGATAAATTTTTTTGGAGGTTATCTATTAAATTTGAGATGAAATAGGATAAATTTAAATTTATTGCTGTAGAAATTAATACTCTTATTATAGAACTATTATAATACAATTCATCGACCAAATCTATATATTGCAAACAATCATATACATTGTTTTCCAAATTCTACTATACTTTTAAATGTAATTTAAAAGGTTAAGATATTTTAGCAAGCTCATAATGCTATAATAATGAATTCATTGTAAATAATCGAGGTTTTAATATAATTTATCTAAAAAATAAATCCTTTATATTTACAAAATAGATCCTTTATATTTACAAAATAAATCCTTTATATTTACAAAATAAATCCTTTATATTTACAAAATAAATCCTTTATATTTACAAAATAAATCCTTTATATTTACAAAATAAATCCTTTATATTTACAAAATAAATCCTTTATATTTACAAAATAAATCCTTTATATTTACAAAATAAATCCTTTATATTTACAAAATATTGATATTTGGCAGGTGGTAAATTTTTTAGGGGGGTAGGCAAAGGTTTTTGAAGGGGGTTTGCATCCAGTGAAAATTCTGTCATGTAGACGATGGTTATAGGGTTCAAATTTCAATGCAAAAAAGAAGGTAAGTGTATAAAGTGATTATATTGTACATAAAAATCTAGTGCTATAAAAAAAAGTGAAAATTATAAAAATTAAATAGAACGGATGATAAGCGAGTTTGAGATATCTGGCCACTCGGCCTAACATTTTATATATTATATTATTATTACTTTAAGAAAAAATGCTGAACAAAATAAATATGATTTTAAGTTTGGATCGGTTTGACATAAATTTTTGTTTTGGGCAAGTCTATCATTATATTATCGTTAGAGTCATATACTTACCGAGTTTTACTAGTCAATAAATATAAAACAATTATAAGCTAGTTATAAACTATAACGAGGACCTTCGATTT